AGAAGGGCCCTCTTTCTGAAATTGGGGGGAAGTAACACAGGATTTTTGAAAAACTAAAGGGAAATAAAATACCTGATGTAAATTCAATTTTAAGGAAAAACAGCATAATTTTAAAGAATTTAAAGAATTTCACAAGAGGAAGGAGCCCTTAAAAGGCCTCTAGTATAGAAGGAAGAAAGGTGCTTTATATACATTTATATTTGGTTAAAAATGATGAATCTGAATCAATAAATATTGTTGTAAATATTACAGGATGCTCTAGACTGGGCAATGAAGAATAACCTATGGGGACATGCTTTATTCCTTGCCAGTAAGATGGATAGTCGAGCTCATGCCAATGTTATGATGAGGTAAACTATCTTTTATCACATAAACCGCGGTGCAGGAGTGTTATAAAGCCATTTTATAAGAACTATATACGCTAGTGTAATAACACTTTGATGTTACGTCCTTTGTGCTATAGTGTTAAAGCATGCTAGTGTTAGCATGACAATACAGGTGCATCAATGAAAAATGACGTGTTTTAAATGTAAACTGTTATTTCTTTGAATATGTAATAAATAAAATATTATATTCCTGTAGATTCAATACTAAATTTGTTGAACTTGTTGGATAAAACAATATTATGCTCGCCAGAGGCACGCATAATATGATTTTTTTTCAACCCGTTCAATAAATTTAGTATCAAACCTACCCTCATTCAATATCCTATGTATATGAACTGTTAGTGTGTGCTGAGTGACAGTACGTATAGAAGAGGTAAAATGAAGTGTAATGGGTTTTTTTTATTTATATAAGTGGATATTGTTTGTTGGTTGGTAGATAAAGCAACTAGGGAGAACCATCATAAACAATGACAACAACAAAATAACATGAATGTTGCAGACATGGTTTGATTGAGACTGTTCATTAGAGATAATTGAAAGGTGCAACATCCCTTACACCCCTAAGCACTAGGCCCTTAGTTGTAAACATGCATTGACCTTGAAAGGTGTTTAAAATTGATGAGGGTTAATTAGGTCACAGATGCTAAAAATAGATTTTTATGCCCCCGCCATGTAATGGCCGGGGCATATAGTGTTACCCTGTTCCGTCATTCTGTCCTTCCGTCATTCTGTCATTCCGTCATCATCAGTTTCCGTTCATTATCTTAGTAACGGTTGCACACATTCAACTCAAATTTGACATATGGATATGTCATGAGAAAATACAGGTCAAGTTCGAATTTGGTCATGGTTCGATGATTTATCTTATCTTTCCTGAATGTTGGAAAAATTTTGAACTTTCAGTTTCAGCACTCATACTTTTGTGGAAATGTATGTAGCCATTATTTTGGCTACAAATATGCAATATGTGTTTTTCAAAAGGTTAAGACTGAATAATTTCAGTGCCTTGAACATTGTATGAAAATGGTTTGTGTTAACATTGAAAAGTTTTAAGGGCTTTGAACTTAAAATGAAAAAAATAATTTGTGCAAACAAATTTGGAACTAAATATTATAACATCTGAAATTTTGGCTGCATGCGGGGGCATCCGTGGCATGATGACACATTTCTAGTTATAACTTACCTTTGCATTTGACCTCATTTATTGACTATTAGTTTTAATATATTTTAATATATGTGATATAATTACTTTGCTTGGAACATTTACTCTAGGTTGCTTAAGACAATGGGGTCACGGTGACGGAAGCTTGAAATAGATTTTTTTTACTTTTCTAGCTTTGTCATTTCTATTAAAGTGATTATTTTCCAATGATAAGATGAAATTTTAGACTGTTAATTTGTATTGTTGACAGGTTTGCTAACGTAGCAATGCGTATGAACGACCCCCTGCAGACACTGTATCAGATGATGTCAGGACGACAACCAGCCGCTGTTACTGTATGTTAATATATATATCATTTTATAACTTCATGTTAAATACTGTAAACTTGGCAGCTGTTGAATGTGATGATTAAAAGAGAAAAAGAAAATTAAGAAATACGTTGTATCAGCTAGAGATATTGAATCTGTCATGAGATATTCTTGTGTAAAGGTTGTAGTGTTTTGACAAAATTTGCTTGTGTCTGACTAAAATTTGCCTAACTGTGTCTGACTAGTGAAATATGAGAGAGACAACCAATATGTTATATGTAGCTAAGCATTAAACCATGAAAGGTGAGGATCTGAAACTGGAACATGTTGAAAAATGTGATCAACTTAGGTTCTCATTTGAACCTGAAATAAGTGTATGAAAGCGAATAGCTCCATTCTTTTACTAAAACTGAACTGTAATATCTTTATCTTAATGGTGTTACTGTGACATGAAATCCAACCCAGCAAATTAATATACATGTCAATTTTATATATATTGAAATACAAAAAAAAAAGAAGAATAAGTGCCTGAAAAAAGTGACATTTAATAAAACGAAACAAAGAAGGCAGTCCATGAAGTAACTAATTTAATGATTTGCCAACCGGTTTCTCTTATGATGATCAGGGCAAAGGTAATGTTGCATAGTAACGACAATGTTTGTGTATACACGTGTACACACAAAATCTAAAAATAGTAACATCATTATGTAGTATTTAGTTTCAGATTAAAAATATCAATAAAAAAACGTTCTTTAGATAACATAGCAGAAACTTTTCTTTACTATGAAATTTATAAAATGGATAAATATAATTTGTTGTTGATTTATTATAATGAAGTACACATATATATTAACAGTGTGTAGCGGAGGAAAGATGGGGAGACTGGAGGCCACATCTAGCTATGATATTGTCTAACCATTCTCAGAAACCCGATCTAGACAGGAAATCTATAACAACTCTGGGAGATACACTAGGTATGTTTGTTTAAAGCCCTAGCTTGCTGGACCAGTGCAAACCAAGGTCGGTATGACCAGTGCAAACCTAGGTCAATGTAGACGGAGGTCGGTGCACCAGTGTCGACCAAGGTCGGCCGGCACATCATGGTCTGCTCTGCTCCCTATTCAGTCAGTCAGCACACATTTCCAAAGAATAATAAATGTTGGCAAGAAATTATGGCAAGTATGAACAAGACTAAAAGTTGTATCATTGAAATAGATTAGTATTTGTACAAGAATGTATTGTAAAGGTTGATGGTTTTAGGTGGGTGAAGCAATGCAATATGAATATCCTCCACCAGTAAAGTTAGAAATATTTACAGAATGCCTGAACCATTTAAATTGTTCAAATATTATAAATACATGTATAGATATGATTTCAGTTAAATGATTGTTTACTATTTTATTGTTGTGTTTATATTCTGTTTCAGCTTCTAGAGGATTTTTACATGCAAGTCATTTTTGTTACTTGATGTCCCAGACAAGTTTTGGATCGTACAACAAAAAATCTTCAAAGATTGTACTGGTGGGCTCAAGTCATGGCCTACCATTACAATATTTTGCGACAGATGAGGCTATACAATGTACAGAGATTTATGAGTATGCTATATCACTAGGAAATTTGATGACTAACTTAATAAACTTTCAGGTAAATATCTGTGTGTCTGTCTAATATATATTTTGCGAAGTTTATGCATAAAAAAGCAGTCATAGCAACCTTTTTGAACTCTTTGAATTCATGAATTGTTTAAAGTTTTAGGAATATCTCTTTTTTTTTACTTGAGAAAACTTATTAGTATTATGTTTCAATTTAAAAAGTTTGTGCTTGATACATTTTAAATTTTCAGAAGAATAGCTTATTTTGTTTTTAGAGCTATGCATAGTGTGACCACTCTGTACATACATACATGACCATTGAACATTCTACTATTATAATATATATATAAATGCTATTTTCCAGACATTTAAGTACCTGTATGCTACGAGACTGGCTGACTATGGTTTTGCTCAAGAAGTAAGTGTTGATATATAAATTATATAAATATACTTGTTTATAAGGTCATTATTATCATACATACATGATAGGCTTATGATATCATAAATTAACTTATGGTTTATGGTATCATAAATTAACTTATGGTTTATGATATCATAAATTAACTTATGGTTTATGATATCATAAATTAACTTAAGGTTTATGATATCATAAATTAACTTCAGGTTTATGATATCATAAATTAACTTATGGTTTATGATATTATAAATTAACTTAAGGTTTATGATATCATAAATTAACTTAAGGTTTATAATATCATAAATTAACTTAAGGTTTATGATATCACAAATTAACTAAAATATATATTTATTTCAACTCAAGTGTGAAGTTTCTCTAAAGTGTGAAGTTAAACATAGTTTAATCTCTGAAGTGTGAAGTTAAATGGGGTTTTGTGTGTGTGTGTTTTTTTGTTGTTGTTTTTTTGTTTGGTATTTCATACCTAATATATGAATATTCATGTTTGATTTCAGGCACTGCAATATTGTGAAGTGATCTCAAAATATATAAATGTAAACCCAGCCTTCTTCCCACATATTCTAGTCAAGTTGGTATATGATGTAAGTAACATATATTTATCATACGTTCTTATTAGCTCGACTTTTCTATGAAAAGGGGAGCTATCCTACTCGCCCCGGCGTCGGCGTCGGCGTCACACCTTGGTTAAGTTTTTCGTACCACCCCACTTTATTTCAGAAGTATTACAAGTATGGCTTTGAAACTTACCATACTTGTTCACCATCATAACCTCCATCTACAGACAAGAGTACATAACTCTGTCAAGGTTTTTGACAGAATTATGGCCCTTTTTTGACTTAGAAAGTGTATTGAGCTTGGTTAAGTTTTTTGTACCACCTCACTTTATTTCAAAACCATTGGAGGTATTGCTTTGAAACTGACCATACTTGTTTACCATCACGACCTTCATCAACAGACAAGAGGACATAACTCTGTCAAGGTTTTTGACAGAATTATGCCCCTTTTTGACTTAGAAAATACATTGAATATGGGTAAAATCCACTTATTGCCTTAACCCTTTGAGATATTGCTTTGAAACTTTTAATGCTATTTCACATCATTACCCCCATCTGTACGCAAGAGAAGGTAACTCTGTCAAGGATTTGTTTTAAAAATTAAGGCCTTTTATCGACTTAGAATCTTGGTTAAGTTTTTAGTACCAGTCCACTTTTTGACTGAACTGTTTGAGATATTAATTTGAAAGTTGGAATACTTGTTTACAATCATGATTCCCAAACATGTCCAGGAGAAGGTAATTCTGTCAAAGATTTTATTTGAATTATGGCCCTTAACTGTCAATGTTTTGACTTAAACATTTCAAACTTTGCTGCAGTGTTCAAGGGTATCACACAATTCAGTAAAATAATTCTTCACTAAATATCTTAATGCTCATGGCCATTGTTCACTTTAAAAATACAGAGATTCTTGTATTGCCTTTTACTGCAAAAACTTTTTTTATTGGCAAGCAATAAAAAAGTCGAGCGCGCTGTCTTACGGACAGCTCTTGTATTAGTTATATTCTAACCTTACAATTCTCCAAATTCCTTTAAAGTAAATGTTTGCTGATATATAATTGACTGTTGAAACATCCTCTTAATCTTTATTTGACAAATCAGATGGTTATAAATAAAACACAGACCACTCACTTCTTTTTCATGTAGAGACTCAAGTCAAACCGAGTCTGCAATTTTCATGTAATTTGGTTGTGATTAATCTTTCCGAGGCATCACTATGTATCCAGATTTTTATTATTATTTATGTTTTTTTTTTTTTATTAGCTCAATGTCACAAAGTGACAGGGTGAGCTTTTGTGATCGCTTTTCGTCCGGCGTCCGTCCGGCGTCGGTAAACTTTTACTTTAAATGACATCTCCTCATAAACCACTAAGCCAATTTCATCCAAACTTCACAGGAATGTTCCTTTGGTGGTCACCTTTGAAAATTGTTCAAAAAATTTAATTCCATGCAGAACTCTGGTTGCCATGGCAACCAAAAGAAAAAACTTTAAATATCTTCTTCTGAAAAATCCAAAGAGCTAGAGCTTAGATATTTGGCATGAAACATCTTCTAGTGAGTGTCTACCAAGTTTGTTCAAATAAAAGCCCTGGGGTCAAAATTGGCCCCGCCCCAGGGGTCATTGATTTTCCCTATATGCATATATTAAAAACTTAAAAAATCTTCTTTTAAAGAACCCAAAGAGCTAGAGCTAAGAAATTTAGCATGAAACATCTTCTAATGGGTGTCTACCAAGTTTGTTAAAAAAAAAGCCCTGGGGTCAAAATTGGCCCCGCCCCAGGGAGTCATTGATTTTCCCTATATGCGTATAGTAAAAACTTAAAAATCTTCTTTTAAAGAACCCAAAGAGCTAGAGCTTAAAAATTAAGCATGAAACATCTTCTAATGGGTGTCTACCAAGTTTGTTCAAATAAAAGCCCTGGGGTCAAAATTGGCCCCGCCCCAGGGGGTCATTGATTTTCCCTATATGCATATAGTAAAAACTTAAAAATCTTCTTTTAAAGAACCCAAAGAGCTAGAGCTAAGATATTTAGCATGAAACATGTTCTAATGGATGTCTACCAAGTTTGTTCAAATAAGAGCCCTGGGGTCAAAATTGGCCCCGCCCCGGGGGTCATTGATTTTCCTTATATGTGTATAGCAAAAACTTAAAAAATCTTCTTTGAAAAAAAACAAATAGCTAGAGTTTAGATACTAAGCATGAAACATCTTCTAGTGAGTGTCTACCAAGTTTGTTCAAATAAAAGCCCTGGGGTCAAAATTGGCCCCGCGCTGGGGGTCATTGATTTTCCTTTATATGTGTATAACAAAATCTTAAAATATCTTCTTTTAAAAAACTCAAATAGCTAGAGTTTAGATATTAAGCACAAAGCATCTTTTAGTGAGTGTCTATAAAGTTTGTTCAAATAAAAGCCCTGGGGTCAAAATTGGCCCCGCCTTAGGGGACATTGATTTTCCGTATATGTGTATAACAAAAACTTAAAAATCTTCTTTGAAAAAACCCAAATAGCTAGAGTTTAGATATTAAGCAAGAAACATCTTCTAGTAAGTGTCTACAAAGTTTGTTCAAATAAAAGCCCTGGGGTCAAAATTGGCCCCACCCCGGGGGTCATTGATTTTCCTTATATGTGTATAGCAAAAACTTAAAAATCTTTTTCGAAAAATCCGAATAGCTAGAGTTCAGATATTAAGCATGAAACATTTTCTAGTAAGTGTCTACAAAGATTGTCCAATTAAAAGCCCTTGGGTCCAAACTGGCCCTGCCCCAGGTGTGTCATTGTTTTTAACTATATGTGTAAAGAAAAAACTTGACCAGCTAGACCTTAGATGTTTAGCATGAAACATCTTCTAATGGGTGTCTACCAAGTTTGTTCAAATAAGACCCTGGGGTTTAAACTGGCCCAACTACGGGGGCCTATATACAGTTGAGCGACTTCAGGGCCATCATGGCCCTCTTGTCTTTTTAATTAACATCCTAATATGTCATTGTTGTTGTTGTTTTTTTTTTTTACAGTTTTCCAGTCAGTTAAAGTTTAGTCAACCCCAGAACTTAGAAGAAGATGATTTTGCTGACCCAGATTGGCTTCGTGCTTTACATACAACACTCGTGCAATTTGAGGTAATTTTACCTTATTGACTTAATGTAATGTACTCCACCAGCCGTGACATTCAAACCACCCAACTTACTTTTTGTATTCAAACCACCCAACTTACTTTTTGTATTCCAACCACCCAACTTACTTTTTGTATTCCAACCACCCAACTTACTTTATGTATTCCAACCACCCAACTTACTTTATGTATTCCAACCACCCAACTTACTTTATGTAGAATACAGTAATAAAAACCCATCAAAAACAGACTTTATTGACGACATAAGATAGTTCACTGTCAATATTTATATGTTAATAGGAAGGTGCAATACAGCCTGCGTCGGGGTCCGCAACTCCTGCATTTTACGGAGGTCGTACAACAGCGAGTAGTGACAGTGGAGAAGTTGGCATGTATATGCAGGGAACTGACAACGGTACCATGTATGCACAGGTAAATTTCCTATATATATATTCAAGTTATACTTTCTTTTAAAATACATTTCTTAACAGAGTAGGAGCTAAATGCTGAAGTAACTGCTGTAAATTAACTTGTAAATAAAAAAAAAAATTGAAGATTTTACATGTGAAGAAATAATCCAGCTAGTTATACAAAGCTAGGTGTTTTACAAAAGTGCTTGTTCATGTCTAAAATCATACCTGGGGTCATATTACCCTAGTATTGCTAGACCCACATATTGAGCTTCAGAAAAGAATATGACTTGTGTTTTATAATGGTTAAATACTGGATTTAAAGTATATAAGATGCTTATTACAAGAAGTAGGCAGAAGTAAGTTCATATGTATTATACTATTGTTAGTGTTACAATATAAGCATATCGGTAAAAGAATGGTCCCTTATTACTATAAACTGTCCTTATTTTAAGAATGTGATGAATAGAATATAGTTAAGCTTCACACATTCAATAAATTCAGTATAGGAACCTACACTCATTCAATAAATTCAGTATAGAACCAACATATATTCATTATCCTCTATATATATATGACAGGAGGCGTCGTATATGACAAACAATGGTCAGATGTCAAGTATACATGAAAATTATCAACAACAACAACACCCTAGCGTAGACAGCCAGGTACAGTATCAGGTAGATAATTGTTTGATTGTTTGATACAAGTTAACATATATAATACTAGATGCTGCATATATGGTTACTTCAATAGTAAAGGTAGATTGTGTTTACATGGATTTTAACATTTTGATCTTTTATTACCCCTCCCTGTTTTGTAATGCTAATATCCCATAGGCCACTGGGAGTTGTTCTTGCTGTTAAGGTAGACCATGGGTAATGGGCACCATAAGGAACTGTAAAATTGACAACATAGGACAGTTATATGTCTTCAATGTCACCTGTATGCAAAATTTAAATAAAATTTACCGTGTGGTTTATGACTTATGGATATATTTCTGAACTAAGACTTTGCCATTAGAAGGGCTTATTTTCAGAAATGAGGAAACTGTAAATAATCTGTAATATCATCATTATAAAAAATGCTTTTCTATTGCTCATTGTTAAGAAACAAATAACAACATTCAGGTAACACATTACACAAGCAAAATGTTTGTTTCTAAACAAAATGTTCTTAATACGTATAATAATGTTACCCTACCCCACCCACTTTTAACACTAATTTTACCATTTCCCTATCTAAAATGCCTTATTCAAAATATCCCTAAAATTTATCGAAATGAGGGTCTGTTTTCAAAGTTTGCCTAAATTTTCACAAAGGTATATTAGTTGATCATGCGAAATATAAAATACTTTTACCGTGTAGTTTTTATTTTATCGAACTTTGAAAATATCTGGTATCATGTTTGCTATAAATTTTGGCATTATTTAGCAAAAAAAAATACCTAAAATAATTATATAATTTAAATCAAACTTTTTTTCTTCCATAAGGGATCAGAGAGATACATAAATAATGTTAAAAAGAAAAAAAGAAAGAAAAAAAAATTGCCCCTTCTGGGGATTGAACCCACACCCCTCAATTTCAATGTAGTTTACAAGCGATTCTAGCCTATTTGAATACTCTTCAAAGTGGAGGTAATGCATTACCCATGGTCTACCTTAAAGGAAGTGTACCATGCAACTAAGAAATTTTCATCGTTACCCTGTAACTACTTTTTAACAGTATAAAAATCTGGTCACATGTTTTTTTTCAACGTGCAAGGTAAGGATAGTTGATTTATTGTTACTTTTGGTTAAATTTTGTTACAGTTAGATTTTGTTGAAATTTTCAAATGATTTGTTCAGGGTAATAAAAAAAAATAACACATGGGTTTGTGAGTAACAGTAAAAATATCATCCCTCGTGAAAATACTGTTGAAATATATATTATTACAGTATTTTCCTTGGGATGATATTTTTACTGTTGACCACAAACCCATGTGTTATTTATACATTAATAAACCTGTCAAAATACTTTTCCTTAAATCACTGATCAAGTTTTCATATAACATCTGTTGTTATAGGAGACACAGTATGGTAATGGTTTTGAAAATTCACAAGCACAACCATATAGTTCGGAACATGTGACATCAGGGGCAGACAATCAATACCTACAACAACAGGGACATGTACCATACCAGCAACAAGGGCAGATAACTGATGGTTTGACTTTTTTCCTTCCAGTTTATGAAAAACCGTTTATGATAGTTTAGTTCAAACATGCTTTGTGCTAAAACCCAATTTTCTTGTACTTGAACCCGCTTTCCAACTAGTTGGAATTGCAAAATGTCACTGTTTATTCATTTCATTTTTTAAAAGATTTTTTTGGTCAAACTTTATTTTTTTTGATGGTTGTAGCAGCTATGCAAGATGATTTCTTAGAGTCAGTTTACATAATTTTACAGTTTACATAAATTGTCTTTGTCCTACTTAATATGTCATAGTAATGTAATCAGGGGGTCACTCGGGCAGTCTTGACTGTATATCATAGTAATGTAATCAGGGGGTCACTCGGGCAGTCTTGACTGTATATCATAGTAATGTAATCAGGGGGTCACTCGTGCAGTCTTGACTGTATATCATAGTAATGTAATCAGGGGGTCACTCGGGCAGTCTTGACTGTATATCATAGTAATGTAATCAGGGGGTCACTCGGGCAGTCTTGACTGTATATCATAGTAATGTAATCAGGGGGTCACTCGGGCAGTCTTGACTGTATATCATAGTAATGTAATCAGGGGGTCACTCGGGCAGTCTTGACTGTATATCATAGTAATGTAATCAGGGGGTCACTCGGGCAGTCTTGACTGTATATCATAGTAATGTAATCAGGGGGTCACTCGGGCAGTCTTCACTGTATATCATAGTAATGCAATCAGGGGGTCACTCGGGCAGTCTTGACTGTATATCATAGTAATGTAATCAGGGGGTCACTCGGGCAGGCTTGACTGTATATCATAGTAATGTAATCAGGGGGTCACTCGGCAGGCTTGACTGTATATCATAGTAATGTAATCAGGGGTCACTCGGGCAGTCTTCACTGTATATCATAGTAATGCAATCAGGGGTCACTCGGGCAGTCTTCACTGTATATCATAGTAATGTAATCAGGGGGTCACTCGGGCAGTCTTCACTGTATATCATAGTAATGCAATCAGGGGGTCACTCGGGCAGTCTTCACTGTATATCATAGTAATGTAATCAGGGGGTCACTCGGGCAGTCTTCACTGTATATCATAGTAATGCAATCAGGGGGTCACTCGGGCAGTCTTCACTGTATATCATAGTAATGCAATCAGGGGGTCACTCGGGCAGTCTTGACTGTATATCATAGTAATGCAATCAGGGGGTCACTCGGGCAGTCTTGACTGTATATCATAGTAATGCAATCAGGGGGTCACTCGGGCAGTCTTGACTGTATATCATAGTAATGCAATCAGGGGGTCACTCGGGCAGTCTTGACTGTATATCATAGTAATGTAATCAGGGGGTCACTCGGGCAGTCTTCACTGTATATCATAGTAATGCAATCAGGGGGTCACTCGGGCAGTCTTGACTGTATATCATAGTAATGTAATCAGGGGGTCACTCGGGCAGGCTTGACTGTATATCATAGTAATGCAATCAGGGGGTCACTCGGGCAGTCTTGACTGTATATCATAGTAATGTAATCAGGGGGTCACTCGGGCAGTCTTGACTGTATATCATAGTAATGTAATCAGGGGGTCACTCGGGCAGTCTTGACTGTATATCATAGTAATGTATATAAATGGGGAAAAATTGACTTATATTGTAAGTTAGTAATTGTGTCCTTACCAGTGTTGAAATGACTTGATATAGTAATAAAATAAATTAGATAAACTTGTGTATTTGATAAATTCAGGTCAACAGGGTAATTTACAGTGGCCAGAACAGTCTGTAGAATCAACCAATCAGAATCATCCTAATATTGAACCGACCAATCAAAACACAGATAACAACTATCAACATCAAACTGCTGGCAGTTTTACACAATATGGTTAGTGAACATTTCCATATTAATTTGAAATATGTGTATGACTTGTCTATCAAATAATACGCTAGCTTCACTTTTACTTCTAAAAAAATCTGGTAACAAAGTGATCCTTCTGAAGCATTAATCACAACAAAGTTACATGAAAATTGCAGACTCAGTTTGATTTATTATGTACATGAGGGATAATGAATAAGTGCAACAACCCTCACACCCACTAGCACTGGCTAAAATCAAGTTAACAAGTTTGTATTTACATAAATCTAATGATTTATTAAGAGATGATGACAGTTATTAGTTGAGAAATTAAATGAGATCTGTACAGTATTCAAGCTTACATTGACAGAATACTTTTCTTTTTAAGATCAATAATTATTGACACGCATGTAAAAAACGGAATATATTTATGTGATGTATAGTAATAGTATTTATAATGAAGTGTATAATGCAATTTTTTGGTTGTAAGATTTCTAATTTTAAATTATATTTTTTCTCGTGGAATGGCAGGCAATCATTGGGATCAAAATACGGGACAATATCATGCGTCACATGGTTTTCCTGCCGACGTAAATCTCGGTGAGAGTCAAACATCGGCTGTATCATCCGACTCGGCTAAACGCGGTAGTCTGGCATCAACGTCAAGTTTCCCGCAGGATAACGGTATAGAACAGGAGGATCATGTTGATTCAGCCGGACTTCATGAACCGGCACCAAGTATATTTGACCTTCAGCCGACTCAGCAAAAAATAATTGCGCCAAAGTTAAGGAAGCGAACAACGTCTGAAACGAGTACAGGAAGTGGTGTTGGACGAGATCGTAACTCAAGTGGTAATCATAATCATCAACAAAAACAGAAGTCGGATAATAATAAGGACAGTTTGGTAAGATTATCTCCCTTCGTTACAGAAATTTTGAAAAAAAAACATTAAAAAAAACAATATACTTTTTGAATATGAAATAGAACTAGCTATTCAGTATTAATGACTTCATCAAATTATAGGAAAGTTTCACTGCAAAATAATGGCATCAGTAAATCGATGTTCTCTTCGATTTCTAAATTTATCAATACAGTGGTTGTGGAAATGGTCTCTTCCCAATATATGAATTATATAAATTTTCCATCTAGTCGTTGAGAAAATAGAGTCTAGAGATGTATGAATTTTCCACCTTTATGACTTAAATTTTTTATCTTTATATCTGTTTAATAATCAGTTCTAAAAAAGGGAGCTAGTCAATGTTTAAACTGCAACATGTGTGTATGTGCTGTAACTTGATTGACATTTATGTTGCTATGGTAGCTATTATTGTTGATGTCTTTGCCGGAGACTCATTGAATCTCAGGAAAGGTTAAATCTTGCAAGGTGGTATCGGCCAGTCTTGAAGATTATACTACTATGGAGATATTATGAAAATCTCTTAGAAGGTCTTTATGGAGAATATTATATGTAAATGATTATAATTGTACATGCAAGTTGACTAACAAAGCATTTTTAGCTCACCTGTCACAAAGTGACAGGGTGAGCTTTTGTGATCGCTTTTCGTCCGGCGTCCGTCCGTAAACTTTTGCTTTAAATGACATCTCCTCATAAACCACTGAGCCAATTTCATCCAAACTTCACAGGAATGTTCCTTTGGTGGTCACCTTTAAAAATTGTTCAAAGAATTTAATTCCATGCAGAACTCTGGTTGCCATGGCAACCGAAAGAAAAATCTTTAAATATCTTCTTTTAAACAACCCTAAGAGCTAGAGCTTAGATATTTGGCATGAAACATCTTCTAGTGAGTGTCTACCAAGTTTGTTCAAATAAAAGCTCTGGGGTCAAAATTGGCCCCGCCCCAGGGGGTCATTGATTTTCCCTATATACATATAGTAAAAACTTAAAAAATCTTCTTTTAAAGAACCGTAAGAGCTAGAGCTAAAATACTAGAGCTAAAATATTTGGCATGAAACATCTTCTAGTGAATGTCTACCAAGTTTGTTCAAATAAAAGCCCTGGGGTTAAAATTGGCCCCGCCCCAGGGGTCATTGATTTTCCCTATATGCATATAGTAAAAACTTAAAAAATCTTCTTTTAAAGAACCCAAAGAGCTAGAGCTAAGATATTAAGCATGAAACATCTTCTAGTGAGTGTCTACCAAGTTTGTTCAAATTAAAGCCCTGGGGTCAAAATTGGCCCCGCCCCGGGGGGTCATTGATTTTCCCTATATGCATATAGTAAAAACTTAAAAAATCTTCTTTTAAAGAACCATAAGAGCTAGAGCTTAGATATTTGGCATGAAACGTCTTCTAGTGAATGTCTACCAAGTTTGTTCAAATAAAAGCCCTGGGGTCAAAATTGACCCGCCCCAGGGGGTCATAGATTTTCCCTATATGCATATAGTAAAAACTTAAAAAATCTTCTTTTAAAGAACCCAAAGAGCTAGAGCTAAGATATTTAGCATGAAACATCTTCTAATGAGTGTCTACCAAGTTTGTTCAAATAAAAGCCCTGGGGTCAAAATTGGCCCCGCCCCAAAAACTTAAAAAATCTTCTTTTAAAGAACTCAAAGAGCTAGAGCTAAGATATTTAGCATGAAACATGTTCTAATGGGTGTCTACCAAGTATGTTCAAATAAAAGCCCTGGGGTCAAAACTGGCCCCGCCCGGGGGGGTCATTGATTTTCCTTATATGTGTATAGCAAAAACTTAAAAATCTTCTTTGAAAAAACCCAAATAGCTAGAGTTTAGATATTAAGCATGAAACATCTTTAAGTAAATATCTACAAAGTTTGTTCAAATAAAAGCCCGAGGGGTCAAAACTGGCCCTGCCCCAGGGGTGTCATTGTTTTTAACTATATGTGTATAGTAAAAACTTTAAAAATCTTCTTTTAAAAAACCCAATGAGCTAGAACTTAGATGTTTAGCATGAAACTTCTTCTTATGGGTGTCTACCAAGTCTGTTCAAATAAACAAATAAAAGCCCTTGGGTAAAAATTGGCCTGGGGGTGGGGGGGGGGCCTATATACAGGTGAGCTACCTCAGGGCCATCATGGCCCTCTTGTTATTGTAAATGATGACTTACTTGTATGAAACTCACACACTGATAATTTAATTATATGTGCTTTGTGAATTTGATATGTGATTCAAGTGATCCATGGTACACGTATACCTAAATACATTCTTTAAACCTGAACTTCGCCTTTGTCTTTTTATGAATGAAAACTTATAATTAAACCCACGTGGCTAGTGATCATTACTAGTATACTATGATTATTATATGAGCCCCGTCATGACAAAACCAACATTGTGCGTTTGCGACCAGCATCCGCGCAGTCTGATCAGGATCCATGCTGTTTGCTTACCAACCCTATTACAAGTAGAGAAACTGATAGCGGATGTGCAGGCTGGTCTGGATCCATGCTGGTTGCAGACGCACTATGTTCGTTTTGTCATGACGCGGCTCATATCAATTAGATGTTGTTATTATTTATATTGTAGTCTCAGCCAAAGAAAGCGGCGGCAGGTGGTGGATTTCTCTCTAAGATTGGAGGATTGTTTTCTCGTAAGAATGAAATGAAGCTACCGGATGATAAAGAACCTTCTGTATGTTGTTTTAATTTACTCATATAAATCTTGCTGTAGTTGTGAAATAAAATATTCCTGTTTTTGTGCTGTCTAGTGTTAGATTAAGAGATTTTTCATTGTTAATATAAGAAAATTAAACTGTTGATAATGTAGAAGATTAATAAGATTTTACTATATTCTCGTGACATAAAATATGTCATTATAACGTGGGATGTCAGATTGTTATTTTATCATAGTTATGTTGTGATATAATGTAAGTTGTTAACAAGAAAATATTAGTAATGAGATTGGTGACTGACAGAAGGAGGGTTGGCAGTTTTGCGGGTACTGTTACTTACTGTTGCGTTAATTGAACGTCGCCTTTCCTTGTTGATCTTGTTTATCATATTTTAAAACATTACTCATCAATTACAAAGTAATATAATTGAGTTACAAGAGGAATGAAATCACAATGTTTTAGGAGTCTGTGACCCAATTCAGGAATTGTTAAGTTCAAGTTTTACTGGAGTCATGGCCATGTTTCTATATATGCCATCCTTACTGGTCATTCTAGGACATGAGAGTGATTTATGTTGAAAGTTTAGATAACAATATATGAATTTATATTTGTATAGATTGTATGGGATGATGTGAAGAAAAGATGGGTGGATAAAGATGGTGGTGAGGAGGAGGAGAAACCTGCGGCCCCGCCCCCGAAAGATCATGAATTAAAAGGTATTCACCATTTACTTGTTGAATTTTGCCCAGTTTTAAATTTGGAACAGTTCATTTTATGCTGAAAAGATTTTAGTAGCAAATACATAAATATTGAGGAAATTATTGAGATCAGATTGCTGACTTTGAGTTATATGCCCCTGAGTTTGTATTTCTATGACTCCTCCATTTGGTGTTTTATTGTTCTTTCTCTAGCCCGCATTTAGAAATTGGATGTAAAAGCAGACACTGAGGAATTTTTCTCAACAATTTATGTTTTTTGATCAATCTTGCCTATATTTACTGTAACAGATAAATCATCTAACAACACAACTACAATCATATAATTACAAATGTAAAACAACAATCATAAAACAACAATCATATAATTACCATGATACAACAATAATAAAATAACAATGATTATATAACAACAATTATATAACAACAAACAAACAAAACAATCATATAACTACAATCATATAACTACAATCATATAACTACAATCAAATAACTACAAACAAACAAAACAATCATATAACTACAATCATATAACTACAAACAAACAAAACAATCATATAACTGCAATCATACAACTACAAACAAACAAAACAATCATATAACTGCAATCAAATAACTACAAACAAACAAAACAATCATATAACTGCAATCAAATAACTACAAACAAACAAAACAATCATATAACTGCAATCAAATAACTACAAACAAACAAAACAATCATATAACTGCAATCAAATAACTACAAACAAACAAAACAATCATATAACTGCAATCAAATAACTACAAACAAACAAAACAATCATATAACTGCAAACAAATAACTACAAACAAACAAAACAATCATATAACTGCAATCAAATAACTACAAACAAACAAAACAATCATATAACTGCAATCAAATAACTACAAACAAACAAAACAATCATATAACTGCAATCAAATAACTACAAACAAACAAAACAATCATATAGCTAGATATAGAAGTTATATCATCATGTTAATGTTTCTATTAACTATTGTAGGTCCTGGATCTACAAGTCAGCTTAGTTCAATGAGTGCCGGACCAGCGCCAGGTGTCGCACCCTCGAGGGATACACTGCCACCTGGTGGTAACAAGTTCTCTATGAGAAGAGGTAAATATATTGTACATGTTTGTTCTCGTTAAGATATAGATATTGTAAACTTGTATTGCAAAATATTTATTAATACTGCTTTTGTAGATTTGTACATCTTTATTGTTGTCCTAAAACTCTTTATCTTTCGCCAATATAAACTTTCTTTGCACATTTTATTTATCTAATAGCTTATGTAAGATTAACTTAATCAATTTCCATGTCATAGATGTATGTATAGAATGCACTGAAGTAACAAGACACAAAATTGTTCCTAACTCTAAGTCATTTTTATAAACAAAACGGGAGAAAAGATGTAATTTTTACATAACTATCCAGCTGGCTTTCCAAGTGTATGTGGCAGTACACACATGAATGTTTGTCAATAATGTTAGGTTGTGCAGACTTTTAATTTATGATCTTCATTTTCAATTACAGCTGGTGAATGTTGTCCTATGTTTTGGAAAGTTTTTGACTGTTACCAGTTTTGTTTAACCCTAACCCTGCCATCGTTAAACATTTTGTGGTGTTTAAACAAGCAAAACTATAAAAACATTGTTTTTTTTTATGTTGCTGATCATGTAATTACTTCATTGATCTTGGTATAAATATTCAAAAATTCATGCATTATTGTTTACAGTGCACAGATTATTTAGATTCCAGTTATACTCTTTGTTATCAAAATACAAGGTCAATCTGTACTATCACCTAACTGACATTTACATCACTTTTGTGAAACATTTCTAATATTATAACTTTATTGTATGGATACACAATGTATATATAATGCATGTTAGATAGGAACTTGCTTTGCTATAATAATGTTTATATATTTGTTTGCTCTATTTTCTGTCCACAGATTCTGCGGGTTAGTATTGTCTTTATGTAAATTCCTTGGATTTATCACACCTCTGTCATAACTTGTAATTTATATTTGTAAACTTATACATGCTAGCTACCTCACTAACTTTCAAAATGTATTGGTGCTAGATTTGACCTGATGTAATATATCACAAAACTGATGCTGCATCCAACCTGATATAATATATCACAAGACCGGTGCTGGATCTGACCTGATATAATATATCACAAGAGTGGTGCTGGATCTGACCTGATATAATATATCACAAAACTGATGCTGCATCCAACCTGATATAATATATCACAAGACAGGTGCTGGATTTGACCTGATATAATATATCACAAGAGTGGTGCTGGATCCGAGCTGATATAATATATCACAAGACAGGTGCTGGATCTGACCTGACATAATATATCACAAGACAGGTGCTGGATCTGACCTGATATAATATATCACAAGAGTGGTGCTGGATCCGACCTGATATAATATATCACAAGAGTGGTGCTGGATCTGACCTGATATAATATATCACAAGAGTAGTGCTGGATCCGACCTGATATAATATATCACAAGAGTGGTGCTGGATCTGACCTGACATAATATATCACAAGAGTGGTGCTGGATCTGACCTGATATAATATATCACAAGAGTGGTGCTGGATCTGACCTGACATAATATATCACAAGAGTGGTGCTGGATCCGACCTGATATAATATATCACAAGAGTGGTGCTGGATCTGACCTGATATAATATATCACAAGAGTGGTGCTGGATCTGACCTGATATAATATATCACAAGAGTGGTGCTGGATCTGACCTGATATAATATATCACAAGAGTGGTGCTGGATCTGACCTGATATAATATATCACAAAACTGATGCTGCATCCAACCTGATATAATATATCACAAAACTGATGCTGCATCCAACCTGATATAATATATCACAAGACAGGTGCTGGATCTGACCTGATATAATATATCACAAGAGTGGTGCTGGATCTGACCTGATATAATATATCACAAGAGTAGTGCTGGATCTGACCTGATATAATATATCACAAGAGTGGTGCTGGATCTGACCTGATATAATATATCATAAGAGTGGTGCTGGATCCGACCTGATATAATATATCACAAGAGTGGTGCTGGATCCGACCTGATATGATATATCACAAGACCGGTGCTGGATCTGACCTGATATAATATATCACAAAACCAGACATTGTAGATCTTTTTTCCAGTCAAGTAGGAAAGTGATGACCTTGACAGTGTTAGGTTACCTGAATAACAAACAAAATGTTGTATATAATTTCCATCAAGTTGTGACAAAACTGTATAATATGTACCCATCGTCTCCTCACTTTATCTGCTTGTAACCTTATATATATATATTTATAGCCTTTTCTTTGTGGGAAACACATCATTTATTTTAATATAACAGAATCACATAACTTATATAGTCCAGGCAGTTTGTGTAACCAATATTATAAGATGAATTTTCATTGGTAGTTATTATGAAAGGTTGAAACCTTTATTTTCATGAAAGAGTTATTGCCCCTTGTCATAGTCAAAATTCAATCACATGCACTTCAGCTAAAAGTTGACAATCCAGATAACTTCCTGTTTTACTAACCAGACGAGATATTAGGTATTGATAAATAGTGGGAATATAGAATAAAATAACAATGCTTGCTTTATGATGAAGGAGGAGAGAAATATATGCTGGATATGGTGGATATGGGTTAACATAATGTTAAGATTTTATGGGCAGGTGTTAATGACAAAGTTCCCCTTTTAACTGGATTGTATTCAATGTTATAGTTCAAAGAATGGCATAATCCATCTTTTAATTATAACCTTTATAGCAGCATACCTCCAGATGAATAAAATCAAACTTGAGAAATTAGTACTAAGATTTTTGAAAAAGTAGAAAGATTCAAGTAATAATTTATGTATTTCAAGTGACTAATTGCTAACATTTCATTATTTTTAACTATATTTCTACTGTGTTACTAAGCAGTAAGCTCAATTTTTGCATATTTTTACTTCTTTCTGTAATTAACTTGGGTTGTAAGTGCCATTGATAATGTGTAAGTTGCTTCCTTTTGGTTACTATACAATATTATACTGTTAAATACATTTTCAAAATGTTCATAAAAGTAAGCATTAATCTGGAGGAGTGCTGCTTTAAACATTGAGGCAAGTGTAACATAGCAAATTCTGTCTATTTGTTAGAGCCTTTATACCTGCTAGACAACATATCATTTTCTTTGAACATATTCTGTCTATCATTTTCTATCATTTGGACCATTCATACTAGGAGAAGGTTCACTGTTTTCTGTAATATCTTTATACTGGCACAGAAGATGCTCTGTATTAGCCAATCATTTTGACATATTGAAATAAAGTTTACAATACATGAATTTTTCAGGAGATTTGTTCTAAATTGTAACTGGTTAAAATGTTAGCTTTAAATATAGATAGACCCGACAAACATCATGACTGGAAGTTGATTTTCTCATGTTGAAGTGTTTAACTTGAATGTCAAATATTCAAAAGTTTATAGAATCAAGTGAAAAAGCCGATAAAAATCATTTTTTTGGAAAAAAAATTAGTTAGCTTTTATAAGGAAGCAGAGGGTGTGGTGTATTTCAAGAATAATTAGGGTTTGTTTAGAGTGCTGAGACATTGACTTATCTTTTTTTCTCAGTTTTATTCACAATAGCCTGATTATTTGTTGAATGATACGCGTCAAATTCTTTTGATTAACTTTTGCTTTTTAGCACTAAAAACTTCAGAAAAGGAACACAATTTTTAAATAATAACTGATTGCTGAATTCTATTTAAGTTTCTTGATGCTATAGTTTATTTGAGTTTTCCATTTCAAGATTATTAGCTCACTATGTGTCTGTCATTGTGCGTCATCAACAATTACTTTAAACAACACCACCTCAGAAACCAATGACTGCACATAAACCAAACTTTACAGGAATGATCAGAGTTGTTCAGATGGTTTCAGTCTGTTGCACAAGAATGACACAGAGCAAAAAAAAGGAAGTTTTCAAAAGTGTAAAAATTCAAAAAATCCTTTTGTCTGAAATTACAAGGCCCAGACAGAGCTTTTATATTTGTTATATGATATTATCTGTTGGTCATCTAGCACGAAAAATGATCTAGTTACCAACAGCGTTCATATTCTTATAAAAAACACTTCTACTTTTCACTGCTTTTACACACAAAAAAACCCCCAAACAAATCTCTGTTTAGATGAGCCAGAAGCCCCCATGGTTTTAGATTAGTTATATAATTGGTGTTATATATTTCAGGTCCAAAGTATGTTGATGTGATGAATCCTAAACCAGCTACAACATCTCAAGTGCCTTCAAGTTTATTTCATACTTTACCTAGTTCCCGATCTGCCCCTGCTATATTTAACCCAATGGGAAATGCAGGTATGTCATTACTTTGTTAATTTAGCTTTGGTTTGCCTTGGTTCCCATACAGTATATAATCAAATGGTGAGATGCTAGCTTGTGATATAATATCAGATGCTATATTGTGATAAAATGCCAGATGCTAGCTTGTGTTATAATATAATGATGTGATAGCTCAGTTGGTTAGACCACTGACTGTCACTCCTGAGGCTCCGGGTTTGATCCTGGGTAACACCCTTGGGATTTTTCAGAGACACTTTCAGTGTTTCCCACCTACCTAGAGGTTTTACTGGGAAGAAACTCAGGTAATCCTGGCATGTATCAGTGCTATACACTGGGCATGTAAAAGAACCAAGGGGTTCTATTCAATAAGAGCTAGGGACTGGTTCCCGTTACTCCCTTTGTATCTCATAGCTGTCTGTAGAGTCTGCTGAGGTAAGGACCCTACTGAAATAAGTGATTGCACTTTCGTAGGTAATCCTTGACCTGTCGGGGGGTTCTAAAAAAAAAATCAAAATTTCAGTCAAATGCTTTAGGCTTTTTTTGTTTTGGGATTGTACATTTGAGCAGTGCAAGTTTAAGATTAAGGCAAAGTATACCAAATGTTTAATGCAAGAAATGTGTATAAAAGCTATATTAAAAATGATAATTATAGCTAATGTATATTTTTTTACAGAGGGTTCCTCCACAGATCTACCCTCACAGGTTCATGATTCTATCCCTGAAGAGAAAACTAGTCAACAAGGGGCAGACAACTCTCATGTCTCAAATACGCCAGCTGGCAACCTACAGTTACCTCCCATGACTGAAAATGTAAGTACACGTAAATAGAGAAATGAGGATTTCTTATTTCTCAGTGTGAAATATTTGTTGTGAGGAATGGATTCAGTTTTATAATATATGCATGCTTGTATTTTGTTCTGATTAAGTTGGCATGGGATTTGCTTCTGTCTGTAATGGAAAAGGAAAGTTAATATTGAACACCTACAGGGACTTGCATTTTTTCAGAAATAAGAAATAAGAACTGTAAAAATGTGCTTTAAAAATATGTTTATATATTCATTGTTATGATGTAGTATATAATACAGGATTTTTTAAAATAATTTTACATAACTGAGAGTGTCATTAATTGTTATTTTTTAGATAAAAAGGGTGTGGGGAGGGCGTTAATTGGTAGCAATATCAGAGAAGAATATGAAATATTTTAAGTTTTAGATTTGTTAAAAGATAAATGGTTTGAGATGAAAAAAAGACAAAAAACATCTAGATAAAACAATGTGAATAACATGTTCTAGAGATATATAGACAGAATTTAAACATGACATGAATTGTTATATTTGTTATTGAATTTGAAGGACAAAAGGTGTTAACAGCTTTAGAGACTAATTGTATTGAATTCTCCGTGGAAAATATATTAAATATTTTTTTCCAGGGTCATGAAATATTTTGTTAAATCAAGTGAGCCAAAAGAACGGTATAGTCCATCAGCAACATGTATAACTTAAAATATAATAAAACAGTGTTTTCTTTGAATGACATGATTTGTTTTCCTTGAATAATATTAGTTTATTTGTAAATGTATAAACAGATAGTTGAAAATCATATTTGTCTAATAGCTTAATTATTTGCTGGTGATTGTTTCTTGTTGCTCATCATTAGATTATCTCTATAATTTGTTATTTTATTTCCCATCGTCAGCTTATCTAATTTTTTTTTTTTTTATCATATAGAAAGTTTGGAAAATTTCTCTTTACTTAAAGGCACATTATGCTTCAGAAACAAATAAATTTTTACAGTTTTTAGAACATGTAAATAATGTTTTAGGAGCATATTAAGTGCTTGTTACTTGAAGGAAGTAGGGCCAGAGACATAGATAATATGATATCTACATCTTTGGTAGGGTTAAATGTGAAATAATTTGTCACAAAAGAAGCAAGATTTAAACTAAGTAGTATTTTGACTTCCATACAAACTACTAAATCACTATAACTGTAACAGAAGAAAAGATGGTTCAGGTAATTGGGCTGTGTGTAACTTTTTGGAAACTCTAAAAGTGCATAAAATATGAAAGCTTTTGAGATATACTGTAAAAATCCGATTTAACGCTTCCGTTGGCGTCACATTTTTCAAAAGGGGGGCATTTAATAAAGATTTAAAAAAATATATTTAAAAAAAAAACTAGTAAGAGAGTTTCTTAATTTTCTTTTATTTTCTTTGTTTAAATTATACACGAGGTTTTCAAAAGTGGGTGGGGGCGTTGAATCGCGATTTTATGGTAAAAATGAAATCATTCCTGGGGCATAATGGGCCTTTAATGAATCAGATACATATAAAATTAAATGTTCTCTGAAGGCACTGTTTTAGGGTGACAGATAAATAATAGCATGTCACAGTAAAAATACTATCAGCTATATTTACACTTGTAATCTGGTACACTAAAATCTGTAATGATAATTTATATATGGTACATAGATAACATATATGTGGAGAAGTTGTTGTCTTCATGCTGCACTTTTCTTTTTTGATAGTTCAGTGTTTAACTTTTACATGTAAATGGATGTAAAAGATATTACACTTTCCTACTAAAAACATACTTAAACAGGACTATTTTAACTTGATAATAGAAAGAGGGGAATTATAATACAATATTATACAAAAAGAAATAGAATAGTGCAAAGTTCTGGGTCTTGATAGGATTAGCTTATCTAGAAATAGTTCAGCAAGTTCTTATTCCAAAAGAAGTTCAAAGAATAATGAACAAGGTTATTATCTTAGTTGAATGTTTTATGTTATCAGAGTTTCTCTATCTCTTCTCTATTTCTCAACTGGTCTTACTTATTGTAATGCCGCCTCTGGATTGATAATCTAAGAGTTATAGTGATATTGGTCTGGTCTGTCGGCCCATAGAACTTTTTAAACTTGATCACAGCACACCTCATTCTGGTCCAGCTACATTCTCGGAACTTCAAGGTGTGGTGTATGCGCACCTTGATTAGCTCTACCAATCGGACCCCAAACGTTCCACAGTTGAACGTTGTGACATGATACCAGTGAACACCATGTACCCAGGGAAAGGCTTCACAGTGAACACCATGTCCAAGGAAGTCCTTCACCTGTGACACCCTCCTGCGGACATGTGTTCATGTCGTGAAGCCTTCCTGGTACATGGTTTCCACATGTGAAGGCTCCTCCTGTACATGGGTGTTCACATTGTGGAAGTCTCTCCATGTGACATGGTGTTCACATGTTTAAGGCCTTCCTGGACATGGTGTTCACATGTGAAGGCCTTCCTGGGACATGGTGTTCACATGTGAAGGCCCTCCTGTGACATGGTGTTCACATGTGAAGGCCCTCCTGCTTCCTGACATGGTGTTCACAATGTGAAGGCTCTCCTGGGAACATGGTGTTCAACATGTGAAGGCCTTCCTGGGACATATAGGTGTTACATGTTGAAAGGCCTTCCTGTGACATGGGTTTCACATGTGAAGCCCTCCTGGAGACATGTGTTCACATGTGAAGCCCTCCTGTGACATGGTGTTCACATTGTGAAGGCCCTCCTGTGGGACATGTTTCACATGTGAAGGCCCTCCTGTTGACATGGGGTGTGCAATGTGAAGGCCTTCCTGGACATGGTGTTCACATGTGAGGCCCTCCTGCGGACATTGTGTCACATGTGAAGGCCCTCCTGGCGACATGCGTGTTACATGTGAAGGCCCTTCCGGGACATTGGTGTTCACCATGTGAAGGCCTTCCTGGACATGGTGTTCACATGTGAAGCCTCCGGGGACATGGTGTCACATGTGAAGGCCCTCCTTGGGACATGGTTGTTCACGGAGGTGAAGGCTCTCCTGGGACATGGTGTTCACAGGTGAAGGCCTTCCTGGGACATGGTGTTCACATGTGAAGGCCTTCCTGGGACAAAGTGTTCATGGGTAAATGCCCTCCTAGAACATGGTGAAGCACCTTATTCTCTGACCACTGTAGCACAAATTGATTTGGGACTTCTAATTCTGCAAAATGTTGCTACTAACATCTAATATGCATCCTAGCTTTTATGTTTGGTCATACTTACTTAATTAAACCTTAAAGGCAGCTATAACCAAAACAAAGAGTCAATTTGGAATCTAGATTTTGAAAGAAAACTTGTTTGTAATTATGCATTGACTATTAAACACAGTCTTTCATTAGAAATATAGAGCAGACATTACTTGAGTGGTTGATTATCAAAAACATAGCATCACTTACATTTAGCTTATATACATATAGTTTTTCAGTTTTTGCTTGTTACATTAAACTCATTGCTACTGTAGGGGAAAGGGTTTTTATCACCTTCTTTTTTTTATTTTGTTTTGTTAGCTGGAAATATGGGCCTAGCAATTTTGTTAATGTTACTAGACTGTAAAATTCTGAAAATTTCCCAAATCTCAATTTACAGAATTCTAATGAATAGTTAGTAGCCTATTGAGTTATTAGCTCTCCGTTTTTTTTTTCTTTGGAAAAAATTTAAAAGACTTGTTTTTAATGAAGATCATCTGATACAAATAAAAAAGAGGGAAATAGATTTTTTGCCTATTTGTTTGGTTTTAGTCAGTTAAATTTAAGATCTTCAGTCATTTGGAAGTAGACATTTACAATTGTCTTCATTTAATAACAAGAAGTCTTCTTTTAAATTACTTGTCATGTTTAGTTAATGACCTAATTATGTTAAATTAAAGAACTTTTATTTGTTCAGTTGATTACCCATTATGTTCAGTTAACATGACCCATTATGAGCAGTTACAGTAAAACCCATTATTTCAGTTGCATTACCTATTATGTTCAGTATATTACCCATTGATATCAGTTACATTACCCATTATGTTCAGTTACATTTTCCCATTATGTCAGTTTACACCACCTCATTGTATTTCAGTTACATTACCCATTAGTTCAGTAAAATAACCCATTATGTCCAGTTACATTACCCATTATGTTCAGTTACATTACCCATTATGTTCAGTTACATTACCTATTTATACCGCCTCCGTGGTCGAGGGGTTAGAGTCGATGACTTCTAATCCAGTTACCTCTCTGGCGTGGGTTCGATCCCCGGGAGATGCTTTGGTAGTTTTAGCCGGCAGGAAGGTTATAGTTCTAAGTTACTGTGTTGTAACCTCTCCAGGAATGTCGGCTTAGGAAAACTACCCGCCTATATGACTGAAATACTGTTGAAAAAGGCGTAAAATGAAACAAACAAAAAAAAACAAAAAAAAAAAAAAACAACATTACCTATTATGTTCAGTTACATTACCTATTATGTTTAGTTACATTACCCATTATGTTCAGTTAAATTACCCATTGTATTCAGTTACATAACCAATATGTTCAGTTAAATTACCCATAGTGTTCAGTTACATTACCCATTGTGTTCAGTTACATTACCCATTATGTCCAGTTACCACCCCAATTTTTTTACCCCAATTATAGTTTCAGTTTAAAACCATTACCTAATTTTTTATGGTTTTCCCCAAAGTTACAATTTAACCCCCCATTAATTTTTGTTTCAGGTTTGTTTAAAACCAATTACCCCATTGTTTCAGTTACATTACCCATTATGTTCCAGTTACATGACCTATTATGTTTCAAGTTAAATTACCCATTATGTCAGTTACATTACCTATTATGTTCAGTTACATACCCATTATGTTCAGTTACATTACCTATTATGTTCAGTTACATTACCCATTATGTTCAGTTACATTACCTATTATGTTCAGTTACATTACCCATTTATGGTTCAGTTACATTACCTATTATGTTCAGTTACATTACCCAAATTGTGTTCAGTACATTACCCATTAATGTTCATTACATTACCTATTATGTTCAGTTTACATTACCCCATTATGTTCAAGTTACATTACCTAATTGTGTTCAGTTGCCATTACCTATTATGTTTCAGTTACATTACCCATTATGTCAGTTACATTACATTATAGTTCAGTTACATTTATCCATTATGTTCAGTTACATTAAACCTATTGTATTCAGTACAATTACCCATTATGTTCAGTTACATTACTCATTATGTTCAGTTACATTATCCATTATGTTCAGGTACAATTACCTATTGTATTCAGTTACATGACCCATTATGTTCAGTTGCATTACCCATTATGTTCAGTTACATTACTCATTATCTTCAGTTACATTATCCATTATGTTCAGGTACATTACCTATTGTATTCAGTTACATGACCCATTATGTTCAGTTACATTACTCATTATGTTCAGTTACATTATCCATTATGTTCAGTTACATTACCTATTGTATTCAGTTACATTACCCATTATGTTCAGTTACATTACTCATTATGTTCAGTTACATTATCCATTATGTTCAGGTACATTACCTATTGTATTCAGTTACATGGACCCCATTATGTTCAGTTGCATTACCTATTATGTTTACACCTATTATGTTAGCTTTACATTACCTATTGTATTTCAGTTACAATTACCTATTATGTTCAGTTACATTACCTATTGTAATCCAGTACACTGACCCATTATGTTCAGTTACATTTACCTATTATGTTTCAGTTACATTACCTATTATGTTCAGTTTACTTTATCCATTGTGTTCAGTTACATTTACCTATTGTAATTCAGTTACATTACCTATTGTATTCAGTTACATGACCCATTATGTTCAGTTGCATTACCTATTATGTTCAGTTACATTACCTATTATGTTCAGTTACATTACCTATTGTATTCAGTTACATTACCTATTATGTTCAGTTACATTACCTTATTTATTCAGTTACATGACCCCATTATTTTCATTACATTACTATTATGTTCAGTACATTTACCCATTTATGTTCAGTTACATTACTCATTATGTTCAGTTACATTATCCATTATGTTCAGGTACATTACCTATTGTATTCAGTTACATGACCCATTATGTTCAGTTACGATTACCTATTATGTTCAGTTTACATTACCTATTGTATTCAGTTACATTGACCCCATTATGTTCAGTTGCATTACCTATTATGTTCAGTTATATTACCTATTATGTTCAGTTACATTACCTATTGTTGATTCAAGTTACATTACCTATTAATGTTCAGTTACATTACCTATTGTATTTCAGTTACATTGACCCATATTGTTCAGTTACATTACCTATTATGTTCAGTTACATTACCCATATGCTTTCAGTTACGATTAACTCATTATGTTCATTACATTACCCATTATGTTCAGGTACATTACCTATTGTATTCAGTTACACTGACCCATTATGTTCAGTTACATTACCCATTATTTCAGGTATATTTCCCATTGTTGTTCATTTTCATGACCCATTATGTTTTCAATTTCATTACCCATTATGTTGAGTTACATAGTTACTTTAAAGCATTTTCAATATTTGATGTACACTTCCCGTGCTATGAAAATCAAGTTGTAATACTGGTCTTGTTTACATTTATTACTTAACACATACCATGATATATTTGTAATAATTTTTAACTGGCCATTGTTACTTAAAGGGTTACTTACTTTTTTTCTTTTGTTAAAACTTAATTATCATTTTTCCTGTTTATTTACAGAACAGTACCCAATAGTAAGAGAGAGTGGTTCCTTACATTTCATTCTGTTTTGATTTCATGTTCCACTGTTTTTCAATACTTTGTTTGTTTGCACATTTTTTTTTATTATCACATCCTTCCTTTTGAATTGTTGTAAGACTTTTATAAGTGATAAAACTGGCATACATTGAAATGTAGGAGAATATGAAAGATGTACAAGGATACCCGCCTGTTAATGTAGGAGTCTTTTTCTTGTCCCTCCAGATTCCAATACCATCAGTGATTGATGAGGATTTAGTTTTAGATGGTGCTTTGCGTGGGGGGGGGGGGGGTGTAGGCACTAAAGTAACAGCTCTAAGATGGTGCTGGTTGGGGGGGTGTAGGCACTAGAGTACAGTCTAAGATGGTGCTAGTTGGGGGGGGATGTAGGGCACTAGAGTACAGTCTAAGATGGTGCTGGTTGGGGGGGGGGGGGGCAACTAGAGTACAGTCTAAGATGGTGCTGGTTGGGGGGGGGGGTGTAGGCACTAGAGTAAACAGTCTAAGATGGTGCTGGTTGGGGGGGGTGTAGGCACTAGAGTACAGTCTAAAGATGGTGCTGGGTGGGGGTGTAGGCACTAGAGTACAGTCTAAGATGGTGCTGGTGGGGGTGTAGGCACTAGAGTACAGTCCAAGATGATGCTAGTTGGGGGGGGGTGTAGGCACTAAGAGTTACAGTCTAAGATGGTGCTGGTGGGGGGGGGGGGTGTAGGCACTAGAGTACAGTCTAAGATGGTGCTGGGTGGGGGGTGTAGGCACTAGAGTACAGTCTAAGATGGTGCTGGGTGGGGGGGCACTAGAGTACAGTCTAAGATGGTGCTGGGTGGGGGGGCACTAGAGTTTACAGTGTAAGATGGTGTTGGGTGGGTGGTGGGGGCACTAGAGTACAGTCTAAGATGGGGGGGCACTAGAGTACAGTCTAAGATGGTGCTAGGGGGACACTAGAGTACAGTCTAAGATGGGGCTAGGTGGGGCAGTAGAGTACAGTCTAAGATGGTGCTAGGGGCACTAGAGTACAGTCTAAGATGGTGCTAGGGGGACACTAGAGTACAGTCTAAGATGGTGCTAGGGGGTCACTAGAGTACAGTCTAAGATGGTGCTAGGGGGGTCACTAGAGTACAGTCTAAGATGGTGCTAGGGGGCACTAGAGTACAGTCTAAGATGGTGCTAGGGGGACACTAGAGTACAGTCTAAGATGGTGCTAGGGGACACTAGAGATGTTGGACATATTAATATCTCTCATGAACAGACTGTCAGCACATTTCATTTAAAATATAGACAGGGGAATGCACTCCTCTCAGATTAACAGACAACACAACATCAACAAATATTTTTACTGTAATAACAACATAACATCAACAAATGTAATTTTTCAATAACAACACAACATAAACAAATGTCAATATTTAAGAAACAACACATCACAAACAATGTTTTGTATTCTATAAGCAACAACAGCAATAGTTTGTATGTAGTAAACAACACAACATTTACAATATATTTGTAGTTAATAAACAACACAATATAAACAGACTTATAGTTAGTAAACAACACAACATAAACAATTGGTTATAATTAGTAATTAGGTTAATTGGTAAGCAGCACAACATTAACAATATATTTGTAGTTAAAATAACACAAAAACAACATATTTGTTGTTAAACAACACAACATAACACACTTATAGTTAGTAAACAACACAACATAAACAATCAGTTATAATTAGTATTTATAGTTAGTTGGTAAACAACACAACATTTGCAGTATATTTGTAGATAATAAACAACACAAAAACAATATATTTGTAGTTAATAAACAACACAACATAAACATACTTATAGATAATAAACAACACAACATAAACAATCAGTTATAATTAGTATTAATAGTTAATTGGTAAACAACACAACATTAAGAATATATTTGTAGTCAATAAACAACACAACATATACAATATTTTGTATGTTAAACAACACAACATTAACAAGCTGACCTGTATCTATTTAGGCTTTATTTTATACTTCTCATGTATATGAGCATTTTGCAAATGTGTCATCAGTTATTTGTGTAAAAGTTATATTAAACATAAATCACAACAGTTGTATGCTGTCTTCTGAACCCACATTCCTTTAGTTGGTAGTCGATATTCAATGATAGATCATCTATATGTTGTGTTTCTTAAGTAAGTACATGTAAATACAAGTCTTATCAGGAGAGAAAAGTTATGCTGTTTGTAAATACTAGTGTGGGTGTATCATGAACCATTGTAAAGATTTATTTAACATTTCACCTACCATACTAACACAACACAGGGTGTTTATATATATATACATGTTATTTGTAGATTCTGACATTCAAAATTTGATGGCAACTGCACACAATTATTGTTTTTATTTTTTTTAAAAATTACAATTTTTAGGATGTCTTTTAAATATCATGTATTAGATAATATATTAATTTTAGACTGATTAGTTATAATGTTATATTACAGTAACTGTTGTTTAGTTGTATATTTTTACCAAACTTGGAAAGTCTTGATGAGTTTTAATGTGAGGTAAAATATATTGAAATCATATTCTGTGTGAGTTAAATGTTAAAAGGCAGGTTTTATTTTTAGCATGTTTAAATTTTAAGTCAGTTACCAGTCATTTTTACTTTTTTGGCCAAATTTCTCACCATCTTGCAGATAGACCTTGAAGTTGATGATACTTACATTAATCTTGAGTCATAAATGACCTTGACCTTCACATTGCAACTTTCTGTTTTAAGTTAGATGACTCTTAACAGGTTGTTTGATAGAATTATAATAAAGTCTATTTTTATTCAAATTTGGCTTCAGAAGATTATTTCTTTTACATAGTGATCTCACCCTTAGTTTTTTATTATCATAAATTAATGATTGTTATATTTTTTTTATTATCATAAATTAATGATTGTTATATTATTATATTTTCAGACAGCACCAGAAACTGCCGCCGCACCAGAGATAAATAATTCTATGCCAACAATGTTTAATCCTGCACAGTTCCAGTCAGGTCAGACTTTCAAACAACCAGCACCACCAGGTCCCGGCCACAGACTTAGTAACAGAAGGGTCTACCCTAAATAATACAAACATTTTACCTCATTTTATGGTGATGTGAATGTACACTACACTTACTTAGTCATAATGAAAACAAGATGTTGACTTCCTAATCATAATGAAAACAAGATGTTGACTTGCTTAGTCATAATGAAAACAAGATGTTGACTTCCTAATCATAATGAAAACAAAATGTTGACTTGCTTAGTCAATAACAAAGTTAAATTTTATAAAAGTCAAAATAAATTTTGACTGATTATGTTATCAGATAACTTGTCGATTGACTTGTTGGTGGACTCGTCGGTTGATTTGATAGTTGACTTGTCTATGGTTGATTTGATGGTTGACTAGATGGTTGACTCGTCGGTTGATTTGATGGTTGACTAGATGGTTGACTCGTCGGTTGATTTGATGGTTGACTAGATGGTTGACTCGTCGGTTGATTTGAGGGTTGACTAGATGGTTGACTTTTCTGTTGACTAGATGGTTGACTAACATAATCATCCAGGGATTGACTAATTAAGTTATAAGCAAAAGTGCTAACTAACTAACTAACATTATGAAGCATATCTAAATATTGAGTTGTCAGCTAATTCTAAGTGGTGACTAAATATGGAGTTGTCGGCTAATGCTAAATGATGACTTACAAAGCATTGGCATGATTATATAGTCCAAATTCTGGGTCAGGGACACATTATCATGACTGTTAAATTGTTGTGTAAAACATATAATAAACCATGATCTGATTGGTTAAATATAATGTTGCTATAGAAACAGAATAATTAAGTTTATGATAATTATTTAATTTTAATGAAACTTCTTTCCATCTTTAACTACGAAATGCAATGTGCTAATGTTGGAAAATATATGAGAAAGACTCTTTTTCAATGAATTATTGCAATTTTTTTTCAATAAAATGAATGAAATTTTCTGGGTTTTTTAATTATGCTACTGTACCTTCTTTTGCTTAAAATAAAACAGAATATAATTGATTGATTTTGTAGTTTTATCAATACAGGTTATGTAGGTTTGGGAATTTTGAAATGTCTTTCCTATACCCCCACCCACTTTGTTATTTTATATTTTGTCTTCGAATATCATATGTATTACTTGTTGTGATTGGTTTATATCAGTCTAGCCATATAAGGTGAGATTTGTTCTCTCTCTCTTGTTTTTTTCTCTTTTTTGATAACAAAATTATCAGCGCATAAATAATCATAATTGAGCCGCATCACAACAAAACCAACATAGTGCATTTGCGACGGGCATGGATCCAGACCAGCCTGCGCATCCAGTCTGATCAGGATCCATGCTGTACGTTTACCAACTCTATAACAAGAAGAGAAACTGATAGCGAACAGCATGGATCCTGATCTGACTGCGTGGATGCGCAGGCTGGTCTGGATCCATGCTGGTCGCAAAACACACTATGTTGGTTTTGTCGTGACGCGGCTCATATATATTGGAGGGTATGGTTTGACATTAGTTGTAATAGAGTGAAGTTACTGAACATTGTGACAACAGACTTATAGCTAATGTATCATTATCATTAGGTAAGCTTGTGGGAACGGGATATGCTGTCATGTTTATAATATCTGTCACATGATCATGTCAGGTCTTATCTTCATTCATGACTCATTTATTTTCATTTATATTCATTTTGTTTTTCATTTTTGAACAGATACTGTCCAATTGTATTTTTTTTGTGACCCTGCCAAACCCTACCTTCTGTATGCTTCAAGCCATAGTGTAACAGCTCTTGAAGTTACATATAGTGTTAATTATTTCTATGAGGTTACAAATAGTTTGAAAATTTTCCATGAGGTTTAAACTGTGTAAGAATTTTCCATGAGGTTACAATGTGATAATTTTCTATAAACTAACATAAATAGGGTTTTAAAATTTAAAATTACAAGTAGTTTAAACAATTTCCATGAAGTTAAAACTTGTAACTTCATGGAATTTTTTTCCATACTATCTGTAGACTCATGGAAAATTTTAAACCTTTATGTTAGCTTATGGAAAATTATCACATTGTAACCTCATGAAAAATTCTTACACAGTTTTAACTTCATGTAAATTTCCATGAGGTTGCAAATAGATTGAAAATTTCCATGTTAGTATGAAAAAAATCCATGAGGTTGCAATACATTATGTAGAGTGAAAATCCATGTGTAAGAATTTTTCCATGAGATTACAATTAGTGTAAAAAGAAATTCCATGAGGCTGCAAATAGTGATAAATAAGATCAATAAATTGTCATAATGTTTACATAAGTTAATCTCTTTGAATCCTAGATGTGAAAAAGTTAAAATGATAATTGGTTAATTTAGAACTGTTTTAAAATCTTTTTCAACTATATTGAACATATTGATTTGTAAATGAGAGTATTTTCTTGTTTTTAACCAGGTTTTCCGAAGGAAAAAACTGGTTATTAGATTGAGGTATGTCGGCGGGCGGGCGGGCGTAAACAATTTCTTCTGTGCGCAACTCCTCCTACATTTCTCAACAGATTTTGACCAAACTTTCACAGAAGCTTTGTCATCAAGTGCCCTGGCGCATATTGTCGGGGTTTTGCGATTAGATAATATTTGACCTAATTATGGCCCTTTGTTTTTTTTCCTTATATAAAATATATAGTGAACAATTTCTTCTGTGCGCAACTCCTCCTACATTTCTCAACGGATTTTGACCAAACTTTCTCAGAAGCTTTGTCATCAAGTGCCCTGTCACATATTGCCAGGGTTTTGCAATTGGTATATATTTTTATGATATTTTGCATGTTAATGCACTTAGGTGACAAAATATATATATTATATATATAGAAATAGGTTCCAGTTGTGCTTGAGAAATTTTGATGTAGATTTATTTTGCCTTTCATATACACACAGCCTGGTAAAATGTTTCTAATTGTTATATAATATAATAAAAGTAAATGCTTTTAAATTAATGTTATTTATTAAAAAATCTAGTTAAAATTGTGTTGTAAATATTTTCTGGAGTTTATTTTGTGATGTATATCATATTGCCATAATGCGAAATGTGTGCATATTTGTTTTTATCAAACTTTCACTTTAAGTCTGTGTTCCTTTTTGTGTCTTTGAAGATGACTGATGTTTTATGCTTGTTGATTATTTACCAATATTTATATTGACAGGTTATTCTGTTTTTAGTTATTGAGTGAAAAAAAGGAGTGAGAATGGATACGTATCTAGTCCATTTAATATAGATTATTTCCCTTTATTGCAAAAACAGCCATTTGCATTTAATATTATATTTGATTGGGGATATTTTGATTTTATTGATGAATTTGAATGATATACATGTAGAATAAATAATTATCTAGTGAAAAGACATCAATTAATGTATACACTGGGTAGATGTGTTAATTTATAAACATCAATTTATTGATCTATTCCTAACTTGTGTATAGGGTTAGTAGTAATTACTCCTAACTTGTGTTAAGTGAGGCTATTTAAAGAGGTCACTACATTTCTGTTTTGATTTATGCTATAAAAACATTGTATTTAAAAACTTATTAATGGTTTATCATTGATTTAGTCTCAACAGATTGTTCCCTAGACATATATTATTATATTTACAGACATAATAGACATGGCAATTTACATAATTATTGTATATGATATGTAAAATGTTGTGCCAGTGCCCATAGAAAACAACATTAATTTCACCTTTTAATTGGAACTGCCCATTTTAATTTGCATGAGACTAACGGATAAATATTAATATTTCTGTAACATTCCAAAACAATTATAAATAAAAAGTTACATGTATCTGTGCAAAACTTTTGTGTTTAAAGATTTTTCTGAATATTTCTACACTTGGAATATTTTTGTTTCCAAGAAAACAAAACTTGCTTGAGTGAAATGTTTTAATTGTATGTATATTCTCTGTAAGAAATGTGTTATTTGAATATCATTGTTATTTGTTAATTTAATTGTATATACATGTATATACCAATTAGGTCATTGGTACAGGATTATATCACATTTTGTAGTTTCACTTTCATTTCTCTGTCTTATTATCTTAAGATTCTATTTATAGTACCAATGTCATTCCATTGTGACCTTGATTACTTGTTGAAGTATTAATGTCATTTCACTGTCATGTATTTTAAAAAATGCTATTTATAGTATCTGACCAGATGCTATTTTTAGTGTCAATTTCATTTCATTGTGTCCTATTTACATGCAGTTTATAGTTGCAATTTTATATCACTTTGACCATTTTGGTGCTATTTATAGAATCAATTTCATTTCACCATGACCTGACTGGCTGAGGGGTAATTAAATTGTCATTCTTTCTCTGCCAGACCTAATTGGATGTTGATTATAATATAAGTTGATTTTACTGTGTCCTTATTGGATGCTATTTATAGTACAAGTTGATTTCACTGTGACGTAATTGGATGCTATTTATAGCATCAAGTTGTTTTTACTGTCACCTTATTGGATCCTATTTATAGTATCAGTTTCGTTTAACTGTGACCTAATTGGAATGATTCCTGTTGTTTAACCAGTGAAAACTTTCTGTTCCATTATGCATGTTTTATTATTAGATTACATAACATCATTTATTTTATTTCAGAAATCAGATTTCATATTCATTGGTATTGATTGACATATGAAACTAATGAAATAAAATATTCACCAAATTTGTTGAGCTTGTTTTATGTTTCTTTTTGGTCACATGGTCTTAAATGGCTCCTTGGTTGCTTTTGTCACGTTCCGTGACTATTATGTAACTAACCTGTGCCGCTAATCTGTCTGTTACAACAGATAGGTTAAACAATTTAAGCATTAAAAGACCATTATATAGATATTCAACATGTATCAGGATGCAGAGGAGAAAAAAAAAATAAACCGTTAAGTATGTTAAGATATAGCCTGCATAAGCATGTGAAACTTCCTTGCACAATGATGATCAAACCAGAAGATCAAGGAGTAGTAAAAGATATTACTCGGATATAATATGTGACAATTTGCCAATTTGATAGGAGGAATATCTTCTGAAGCCGTTGAAAAAATGGAGCTTTCTCTTATACTTACCCCCTCCCCCGACATGTGCACACAATAGGAACATAGATGCCCAAAAAGACATTCATTTGATACTATTTTGAACTTGTAGTATAAAGGTTATCAATCCTAGAAATGACCTATGAATTTTAAAGGTGCAAAGATAGTACCAATATACCTATGGTCAGAGATAATCATCTAAGGTGCAAAGATATTAAATACACCAAAAACATAAAGTACTGATAAACATATGGTTAGAGGAAATCCTCCAAGCTAAGGTGCAAATATATCAAGTACAGATACACCTATGGTAAGAGATAATCCTTCAAGGTTACCGATATATGTGTGTTAAAGATCCTGTAACACAATTTTTTCATGGTTTTATTTCATAAATATGATGCTCAAATTAAGATTTGTCAATATTGTAAGTTCCAATAAGCATTATTTATAAAGATATTACCCAATTTAACATTTCATGTAAATAAAGGGAGGTAATTAGAAATATATTTTCTATAAATTCTAAGTCAAATTTTCCAATAAGAAATGAATGCCTGTAATTTATTGATTAAATATAATGTGCACAAATATTTGCAGTACACATTTTACATATTCTTCGATGTTTGAAAATTGTTTTATTTGCATAAATATGTACATATATAATTTTTTGCTAGTGTGGTATTCATACAGTAAAAATATCAATCACAAAACATACAGGATCTTTAAATGATATTCCTCAAAGGTGCAAAAATATTGAATACCAATATACCTATGGTTAAAGGTAATTAATCCTCTTGATACCAATATACCTATGGTTTAAGGTAATTCTCTAAGGTGCAAAAATATTAAATACCAATATACTAATGGTTAAAGATGATCAACTATGGTGCAAATATACTAAATACCAATATACCTATGATTAAAGAGAATCCTCTTAGGTGCAAATACATTAAATACCAATATACCTATAGTTAAAGATAATCCTGTAAGGTGCAAATATATTAAATACCAATATACCTACGGTTAAAGATAATCCTTTAAGGTGCAAACATATTAAGTACCGATGCACCTATCCCCGAAGATTCAAAGATATTAAGTACTAATTCACCTTAAACTGATATTAATTAAAGTGGCATTATGCCCTTCTTTTTGTAAATGACGGGTGTACAAGTAAAAGTTTTTAAGAAACATAACACTTTTCCTTATTATTTTTTTTAATCACAAAAAACACACCCAAAAACAAAACCATTAACCCGCGTAACTCACGCAAGATTCTATATATATCCTTCATAATGAATTTGTAACGTTCAATTGTAGGTGTAGGACAGTCTTTTTATATTTTATGCAGTTTTATACTTCATCCTAATCATCATACATTCAGCTGCCTAATTGTGTAAACTAATATAAACTAATCACTTCCTTGATATTTTATTGATTTCTGTAAAATATGAAGAGAGCAAAAGAGAGCAAAGCAATGTTATTATTCAAATACACTATATATATATTTATATATACCGTATATGTATATTTATTTAAAAGTTAAATGCGTTCATGTAGCGACTTTGTTAAATTAATTGGATTACAAATTGAGATATTGTGCTTCTATGAGTTATGTTGTGTAATGATCATTCATATTTGCTGGAACATACGATACGTTATAGTACATCCCAGATATTTGCCAGATTCTTATTTGCCATGAACAAAAAATATCTCAAAATATTTTAACTAGTAGCGAACATGTGGTCAAAAACCAATGGACTTTGAAAATCACCCGAAATTACAGCTTTGAAAAGTTCAGTTTGGAGAAATAAAAGGTTGATAGCAGTGGGACATTCCCTTGCCACACGTTGTAGGCTCTCTACTATATTAAATAATGTCAAGAATGAATATATGAATGAATAATACTAAGAAAAACTGCTCGTGTTCGGACGAGCATCCAAGATGCTAGAGTTTAGAAAAAAAGAAGACGGTAAATCAGGTCAATATGGCTGTTAGTCAAATTGACCATATCTCCACATAACAGACTACCAGACTGCTTTAACTTTTAATAAACCTTTTACATTGCACACTGTTTATTTTATATGTACATGTATATAATATTTTATATGCGACTTCTTTTGTTTCACTTTTAAACTTTTCTCAGCGGCTTGACGCAGCGAGTGTATATGTCCTCGAGAGGTTTTTTTTTACGTAAAAAAAGAAATATAGATAAATGATGTTTATTTCAAAACTGGGACATAATTTTATGATAGTTTTATGTCCCAGTTCCAATATATAGTTGGTCATTTCTAAGCATCCGTGTGACGTGTCTAGTCAACGTCCTTTCCGAGACATATAGATAACAGAGATAAGCAGCTCCTATATACTCCATTGAAATATCACTCATGCCTATCAAAAATTGAAAAATTAGGCATTTTGTAGCAAATAAAACTAAATGGTGGTACATTTGATCCTTTAATATTATATACCATTTGAAAGGTAAATCTTTTATCTATTGCTGCATGTTAAAATATTGGTAACTTTCCATGCCTTTCACATAGAAAAACATAGCTGAACATACCCACTGAGCCAGTTTTTTCGTCAAATAAATAGTTTTGTAACAAAAATTAATAGGTAGTTCTCTTTAAAAACTGATGTATCATTTATTTCAATGGGAACTGTAAATATTTTTACCTGCAGCTATAGACAAATGCATAAGCTTTCAGAAAATGTATTATTTTCCTGATTTTGATATCTGGTTAAAAAGTTTTACTTGCGACAAGTTTTAAGTTTATCAGGAACGCGTGATATTTTAACTGGTTAGGAAGTTGCCTATCTCTGTTATCTATCTATCTGTCTCTGATTGTATGCACACGTACACTTACGTAAATGCTTAATTAAGCCCTATGTATTTTTTTTACTTTTCATGTTTTGTTATATGTTATTATAAAGCTTCATAAACAGCCAATGTGGTATAATTGTAAAAACCGACTTAAAGCAAATACTCTTCTAAAATTTCGGTTAATTCAACTCCTTTCGCACTTTCAAAACACCCGTGCATATGTCCGAGAAGTTGCGACTAAAAACAGCCTTCTGTAGTCTCCCTTGAATACTCAGTTTACCGCCAGAATTTAGAACTACAAGCACAGTGGACTTGGTAAGAAAACATATAAAGTTTATTATATTTTGACTTTCACGTGAATAAAACACAAAAACTTTATTTCTCCAAGAATTATTGCTGCGTCTCTGACACAACATTCTCTAGGAATTGCTAAGACACTATGCAGTGTAATAACTCTAGCAAACATTTTTTTTTCCAGAAATAATCTCCCCTTGAACTCGGGATATATATCAAGAATTCATATTTTTTACTGTAATACTATGTTAATTATTGTTATTTTTTTACTGTTTTTCAAAGGATTTAAGTTCAATATAATAATAAGACATGGTTCATAACTCTAGCGTCAATATTTTCTGGAATTATCTGAATATCTTAGAATTTTTCCTTATTTTTAGCTCGAATATTCGATAAGAATAAGAAAGTAGAGCTATCCCAGTCACCCTGAGTGTTGTCGTAACCACTTGTGTTAAACTTTGCGTACCATTTCAAATAATTTCAAAGTCCATTGACATATGGCTTTGAAGCTTTGCACACTAATCTTGTTCACCATCATGCCCCAACCTGTAGAGAGAAGGAGGTAACTTTATCAAGCATTTTGACAGAATTATGCATATATCATCCCCTTGCTCCAGTCAGACCCTTCAACACAGAGTAATGGCCCTTGATAAGTTATGCAGTATGCATATAGAGCAATAATCATTTCCGTGCTATATCTCTGCATTTTTCTACTGGCTGCCATTCAAGAAAACTTTGTGGAAACAATACCAATAGGAAATGAGCATATAGTCATCTTGTCCCTGTCAACTCATCAACACAAAGTTATGGCCCTTGATTAGTTATGCATGTATGAGAAATAATTGTTTCTGTGCCATTTCTCTGCAACTACTTGCTAGAATTCAACAAAACTTTATGGGAACCATTAATACCAAGAGGAGATGCACATATTTTTGCCTATTTCAGGTCAGACCCTTCAACACAGAGTTATGACCCTTGATTAGTTATGCAGTATGCATATAGAGCAATATTGCTATTTCTTTACAACTGCTGGATTGATTTCAACAAAACTATCAGAACCTTCAATACAAAAAGGCAATCTACATCTCATGGGCATGTCCAGATAATACTGAGTTATGGCATCTGTTATTGCCCTGAATTTTTATCATGTACAAAGAATATTACTGTTTATGTTATGATAAATATATAAATAAAGCCTTATGTGACCACTTGGTGTGTTAGTAATAACCAATAATCGGCGGGGGATATAAATTCAGATTTTGCTTGTTTGTTTTAGATGCTAATGTCAATGCAATGATGTGACTTTATTTCTTACATTTCAGCTTATGTTAACATGTCTCGCACCAGTTTAAGACGTCAGATTTTCCATAAAAATCTAGACCTACTTTTACAGAATGGTTCACTGGATACAGTTGATGAAGAAGTAAAAGATCAAAGCCCAGGTTGTGGAAATAAGGAGGTAATTGTTATAATATAAATGACATTATATAAATATATGATAAAAAGTGAGACCTGTGCTGGGACCACCTCTAGGAAACCTTCCTCTGTTTTGTTTGAAATTTTTCAGAGATATGTCTTTTATAGTGAAAAATAACAACCTTTGTCATAATTGACAACATTTCAAAAAACCTTTCAGAAATGACACCAACAACAATATTCTGTCTAGATATGGACATTTGTAGTTTAACGGTCAGCTTCACTGACATACAAAAACCTCAAAACATGAAATATGAATGTCTGACATAGATCAGCACAGAAAGAAATACAAAAATAGATAAGAAATATACTCAGAAATAGATTAAAAATCAATTTTGTGAGTCATCCTTATACTAATTTTAGTGAAATTTGGGTCATTTTTCCCCAATTAGAATTAATATTCTGGAAAAACATAGTGAGCGAATGATCTGAAATTTTTCACACAAGTTACTGATCTAACCTTACATCAAATAGAGCAGTATTGTCAAAAAATTATTTCCAGTATCATCATGGATTAATTGTCAAAAAACATCAGCGGAGCCCTTTTAATATGTTTATTTCTGTTATTTGTAACAGAAAGTAACAGATCTAGATGCTACAGTAGAAGGAAGTCAGTGCTCAGGACCTAGTGACAATGCTGACCAAACGTTGTTATATAGGTCACCAATATACAGACCTAAACCCTTACAGCTGGAGAAACCAACACACAGGTTAGTTTAGAAAATTGTTCCCATTTAAACATAGTTATTACTTTGGATTGATTGGGTATTTTATTTATCCTGCTGTTGTTTTTGTTTGGGGGTGGGGGATTTTCATGATCCATGTAATACAGGTCAGCAACTGTTGATTTGAAGGTGATGTTGATTTTCATGATAATTTGATTATCAATGTAATGCTAGTGTACACTGTTTGGTGATGAGGGATTTTCATTACAAGTTGACTGTTCATTAAGAATGGCCCTCACAACTCTTTTTTCTGGGTTTTTGGACAATTTGATGGTTCATTAAGAAAGGTCATACATTTACTGTTTGTTTAGGACTAGAGGGATTTTCATGACAATTTCATAGTCCTTGTATTTAAGGTCTACAATTGTTCAGTTGTGGGAGGGATGGGGTATTTTCATGATATTTTGATTGTTCATTAAGAGTTGTCTTACAGCTGCTTTTTTTTTGGGGCTTGGGGATTTTCATGACAAGTTGGTAGTCCTTGTATAACAGTCTTGCAGCTGTGTGTCTGTGTAGGATTAAATTAAATTTTGTCAATTTTCTTACCTTTGCCTTTCTCTCTAAAAATTGCTGTCAGAAATTCTGTTGTTTGACTTACTTTTAGTGTTAATGCACAAGTATCTCAGCCAGTCAGAATACTTGACAATTTGTTATATATTAATATTTGATATTCATTAATCATAGGAAGTTTGTTCTTATGTCAAAACTTAAGATTACTTTTTGCTCTGCTGATTTTTGTTACTGAAGGGATTAGCTTTAGATTTCTAATTGTTCTCTTTTCCATTAGAACATTCTCTATTCCATAAGAACATAGAAGGAGCTGTATTACTTTTTTTGACATGGTCACATATTATATGGTGCAAAAATATGGAACATTTTCTGTCATGATACTGATAAATAAATATATTTATATCATAATTTATTTTTTTGGTAATAGTTTTGTCTTCCTTTAATATTGTGTTCAGTATTTAATTTGTTGAGCGTGGCTGTCTCCTCTGACAGCTCTTGCTATGTTTCACAGTATCAGACTCTTTCAAATGAAGACTTATAAAGTTCAGGTGATTTCAAGGAGTTTGAGAAAATTTAATGGTAGAATTTATATTTTATTAGAAACTTTATTGCTAGCCTTTGACTTTATCTTTTATTATGTATTTAAAAAAAATTTCAGTGATACATCTTCACCTCAAGCTGATGGTGATTATGGTCATTGTAGTACACCATACCTGGAACCATGGGAATCAAAGTGTACTGGTGCTGTTGTTCCTCCTGGTACACCATACCTGGAACCATGGGAAAATAAGTGTACCGGTGTTATTGTCCGCCCTAGTACACCATACACTGAGATTGATGATAATGAAGTAGGAAAACGGAAAAACAATTGTAAGGTAGTAAAAATTTGACAACATATAAATTTATGAATCTCATCCCATAATCTGCTATATTTCTCTACATGGATCTGTCCAGCTTTTGAATTTTAAATAGTCCATTCAAAGTTTAAGAGATTTCTGAATATCAAAATACAAAATTGAGCTGCCAACAGTATAGGGCCTGGTCAGACTGCACGGATATGTAGGCTGGCCTGGCTCTATACTGGTGTCAAAGGCTGATCACTTTTGGTAGTTAACCACCATGTTCTCTTTCATTTATGTGTAAGAATATATATTTATGTCGCTAGTTTAAGGTATGTTTGAGACACATTCATGTAGTAAGCTAGCATTTTTAAGGCTCATGTTTTATTCAAATAATACACACATTGGTATCATAGTTTTTCTACACCAGCTTTACATGAACCTTAACATTTTTCTGAAGTCTCTAATTTTGCAAGTGAAACCTGATATATATATATAGTTTAATATTTATTTAATGTGACTAATTATTTACAATTGTTGTAAAGATGTAAAGAAACTCAAATGTCCATTTTCAGGCAGCACCGTTAAAATTTGAATTTCCGGCTCCGTCAACCTCTTCATATAAACGTTACTCTTTCCCGTTTTCTCCTATACCTGGGGGAGCATCACATGCTCAGTTTGGAGGAGGTTGTGAGACATGTGAGCAGGATGTGAGAGCATTACCAATGAGTCCGGCACTGTTTGTATCTCAAGCCACCAGCACACCTGGGCCAAATAGTCACGTGATGGATTCACCAACGTGCCAGAGTATTTTGGAAAATAATAAAAGGTATCATTAATTTATGGACTCTGTATTGAGTAAGATTTTATTACTGACAGTGTAATTTTCTAGTTTAGCTCTCCTAAAACACTGGCAACTGAAATACATTTAATGTTGACTTAGATTGCAAATACTTTAAGAATTTTTAGATTACTAGCAGAATTTTAACAAATTGATGGTCAATGAATGATTCCTGTCTTCTTCCAGTTACTGTTTATGAAGCGTTTGTGGTAAATTGAAAAAGTTGCCTTATTGCCCCTAAACATAAGTTGTCTTTAAAGAGAACTATTATAGAGAAATATGAAATATTGCAGGTTTTTTTGTTTTTAATAAATAAATGAAAGTCAATATATAAACTGTAATATTTTTAGAAACATCTGCTGAGATAGAAATCTAATTAATCTATATCACTGTTAATTTTAATCATGACTTGTTCAGTCTGTTCTTTCATCAAGTGTGATCATAAGAGGTTAATACTGTGTGATCATTAGCAAATAATAATTACTGTGTTATCATTAGAGGTTAATACAGTATGATCATAAGCAGATGATACATTGTGATCATTAAAGGTCAATACATTGTGATCATTAGAGGTTGATACAGTGTGATCATTAGAGGTTAATACAGTGTAATCATTAGAAGTTAACACTGTGTGATCATAAGAGGTTGACACAGTGTGATCATTAGAGGTTAACACAGTGTGAACATTAGAGGTTAATACAGCGTGATCATTAGCGGTTTATACAGTGTGATCATTAGAGGTCAATACAGTTTGATCATTAGAGGTTAACACAGTGACAGTGTGATCATTAGAGGTTAACTCATTGTGATCATTAGAGGTTAACACAGTGTGATCATTGGAAGTTAATACAGTGTGATCAATAGAGGTTAACACTGTGATCATTAGAGATTAACACAGTGTGATCATAAGAGGTTAACACAGTGTGATCATAAGAGGTTAACACAGTGACAGTGTGATCATTAGAGGTTAACTCATTGTGATCATTAGAGGTTAACACAGTGTGATCATTGGAAGTTAATACAGTGTGATCATTAGAGGTTAACACTGTGATCATTAGAGATTAACACAGTGTGATCATAAGAGGTTAACACAGTGTGATCATTAGAGGTTAACACAGTGTGATCATTACAGATCTATACAGTGTGATCATTATTTGAGGTTAATACAGTGTGATCATTAGAGGTTAATACAGTGTGATCGTTAAAGGTTAATACAGTGTGATCATTAGAGGTGTATACATGTGAGTGTATTTGGTCAAATTGCAAATTGTGATAAGGTCTGCTCAATAAATGAATTGTGGCTCCTCTGGTTAAAGCACACAATTATTGTGTCATATATGTCTTGATGTATTTCAGTATATTTAATTTCTCCGAGTGTAACATGTGTCGTATATGTCACGAGGACGGCAGTATGGAGAAGCTTGTGTCACCGTGTCATTGCGCCGGCACCATGGGTATGCTGCATGTATCATGTCTCGAGAGATGGCTCGGATCTTCAAATACAACAAAATGTGAAATCTGTCAGTTCCAGTTTATCGTACAGAAGAAACCTCGACCATTAAAATGGGTATATATGTTACTATCACTTTAAGATACCAACATTTATGATTCAGCGATTTTTTTCCCTATGTAAGTGGTACCCAATAAGGGACCCATTCACAATCACAAAAGGACCTTCACAATTTTCTGACTGGTTCCAACGGACCCGTTCACAATTCTGATGAAATTTCACAATTTCGATTCATTAAGCCTTTAATAATGTATTATTTCCTCTCTTTGCATAATGATGATAAAATTTTGCCTGCTTTACTTTATCTTAAAATGCGTTTAGCCGACCATGATTTCCGTTGCATTTGCCCTTTAAATTCTCGTATTGTTTAAATACTAAACTTCTAGGGAAGAATCAATACCGAAACAAGCGTCTTACAATTTCTGTAAACATCATTCAAAATGACTCGTAACAGTAAAGCTTTAGACATTAAGTATGTTTAAGTCAGTCACAAATTATATGTTCTTACTGCTTACACAAATTATATGTTCTTACTGCTTATAACTAAAATCCTCTCATACAGGTCAGATATTTCAATGATATAATGGAGTATACATGTATGTAATTACTTACAGTACATGCAGGAACCGACGTTGAAAGAAGACAGATTGTTGATAGTGAAGGATATAGTGATACTGGTTACCCTCGCAGGACTTGTCCTTGCTGTTGCTGTACTATGTCTTGTGTTTGCTAAACGTTTGACAGATGAGCACAAGCCGGGACCCGCAGCTGTTCTAATTATTTTGACCGTCTGCTCCGTCATGCTGTACGCTATATGGATGTTTGTAAGTGTACTGTATTATCTCCCTTGGTGGTATTATATTTATGATGTTAACACTGGTCAGAAATTCATGAAAACAAATCTGGTCAGATCCCATTGTTTAATGCAATGAAATATTTCTGCATAGCGCAATTTATTCTACAATAGAGTTTTCATTCCATGTATATATATCTATATGTAACTGCATGTAGGATAAACTTTAAACATATTATGTAACACCAGGCACATATAACTATAGGATACAATGATAAATAAATTATAATGTAACATGGGGCATATATGATGTAACTATAGGATACAATGATAAACATATTATTATGTAACATGGGGCATATATATGTAACTATAGGATACAATGATAAATATATTATTATGTAACAAGAGGCATATATAACTATATGTAACTATAGGATACAATGATAAATATATTATGTAACACGAGGCATATATAACTATATTTATATGTAACTATAGGATACAATGATAAATATATTATAATGTACCACGAGTACAGGTGGCTGTAAGACGTATGAGGAGACGTGTTCACCTCTGGCATGTAGAACATCACATTATTCAGATCAAGCAGAAAAACAGTTGTCCTGGTGATACTAGCAATAAAATCTTTAGAAGGTTCCCGGTGAAGTTGCCGTCAGCTAGACAAAAGGTTAATAGATTTTATTTATCACTTACAAAGAATTAAGAGCACTGATCTGGTCATAGACATGACAATTTTTAGCTTTTGCGAGCAAGGATTTGAAATTGTTTATATTTTTCCACAACAAAATTGTCATTTATTTTATACCACATGTTCTTGTTGATAACCTGAGTGTGCTGACTTTATCAGGAATGTATGGAGTCAGTGAGGCAAGAGGCATTTTTCAGTTATCAATTTTTTTTATTAATTGCCCACCATTATCTCTGTTTTTTGTAAAATCATGGTTCCTCGTATTATCTGGGTCAACTCTTTTTAAACCGTCAGGATCATAAATAACAAGTATGTTCTGTCAGAGGTATTATTTTGTCCAAGTATAAATTTAATCCATTTAATTATAAAGGAAAAAGATGGGGCAATTGTAGCAAAATTCAATGACATGACCTTAAAGGTAACCATAGTAAGGTCAAGGTTAGATCTGAATTATTCATGTTCTGTCAACATACTAATCAAATATCTCATTCCTAACTCAATCAACCAAAACAATTGAACCTAGACCAAACAATAGTAAGATATCCTCATAAGCTTGTAACATAGTTATGTACTAAGTTTTGAATACAATATCTCATACCTAACAGTAGTTAACAATTGGAAAATGATTTAATATTTACAGTAACATTGACCTTGACCCTAGAGGGCATGAAAGCAATTCCAAGTAATGTCTTGTCATCACCTTGCTGGATGACAATAATTGACAAGACAATCATTGTTCTATTTTAAGTAACTGACTTTGGTTGTAGGGGGCCCAAAGGCAAATTGCAAAGCAAGGTCTGCATGTAAGCTTGCTATATACCAAGTTAAGATGTTTAACAAAACCCAACTAGACAAAATCCCACCCTCTAAAAGTTTCCTAGGCATACAAAAACTTCACAATTTTGCTCTTATATCTTTGATTGCTATATAAATAAAAAGGCAGCAAATAACTGCTTTTAATTTCTTTTATGTTTAAAGTTACTTTTGTGGTATTTTAGTCTGAACTTGACATTTGCGCTAAGTTAGTGCTGCAAAGTTAAATACAATTTCCTCAAACTTTATTTTTGAATTCTTCACCTTGAAATGACCTTGTGGCAAGGTCGGATGCGAAATTGCTGTTTTCAATTTCATATAACTGTTTGTTAATGTAACTTATATGATTTAATATTTGAAACACAACAAATACAACATTCATCATGTTAAACCTAAAGTGAATATGACCTTTGAATCCTTAATGAACATCAAGGTCATATTTTGAAAATTATTTCATTTTCAGTGAATGTTATTTAAAGATGGATTTGGTGAATAATTGGACAAACCATCATTTAGGACAAAACTGGAGTTTGAATGACCTTCGGCAAATAAAGCATTATTGGTAATAAGAAAAATCCTATAGGGCAGTATGTGAACTGTTCCTGCTTGCTGAAGGCTTTTGTTGAAAGCATTACCAGAGTTTGCAAAAATGTGGGAGTTAACAAAAAATCAATAGTGTGGGAATTCATGAATAATGTTGGAATTCATGAATAATGTTGGAGTTCATGAATAATGTGGGCGTTAAAAGTGTAGGCTTCATTTAGATGGTCTGCAAGTTCATGAATAATGTGGGAATTCATGAATAATGTTGAAGTTCATGAATAAGGTGGGCGTTAATAGTGTGGGCTTCATTTAGATGGTCTGGGAGTTCATGAATAATTTGGGAGTTCATGTAAATTTTAGTTTTTAGAAATCATACAGGCTGTTGATTTAATTTTTCCTTTTTTTCAGAAACCAACTTCAAAAAAGAAGAAATGTAACAACAATAATTTAGTGTCTACTTCATTCATCGGCTGCTCATTGGAATCATATAAAGCTTGCCCATGTTTAATCCAGTGACACCTTCAAAAAACCATTACTTCAAGATGACAATAACAAATGATATTTACCTCCCTTAATGAAACCCCCAGTCCATCAAGTGGTCTCCCATTGATGAAATTAAATTGACGAGTGTTTGAGTTACTATCAGCCACCGGAATGTGGAACTAACGTTCAGTTTTTATTTTAAACAATGTTCAAGTCAAATGTGTTAGAGAAACTGGTGTTTTTAAACTTGATTACTATCAATTTCAGATGGACTTTTATATAAGGAGCCCTTATAAATTCTGTTTTTGAGATTTTCCCCTTTAACTTGAATTGAAGTTTATAAAGCTTGCCACAATCTGATTGGTAAGGAAACGTTACATTAATTGACTTATTTTGTAAGTATTTACTCGACTATTTTGATGACTAGTTCATCTATCATCGTCAGTAAAACACATTAGTTTATTTTTGCTAACAATTAATAGCATCATCTTTTACAATAGAAACTTCACACAAGCTTTTTCGGTTTATAATTGGGAGGTGACTTGTTAATCTAACATGGATTTTTTGGTGAATTTTACATGTGAAATGGTTGGTCAGATTTTATAACCAAAGATGATATTGACTACATGATTTTGGCTTTTTTTGGTCATAAAAATTTTGTTTTGTCATATCTCAATCCTTCACTCTAGTATTGAATTTAAAAATGATTTGTCAATCTTTGTAAACTTGAGTTATTTAATGTTGGTGGCTCAGCCTGTTTTATTGTCCAGTACTTGGAGAAATGTAATGTGACCAGCCACTAGAATTATAGTGTCTAGTTTATTATTTTAGTCCCAATCAGGCATAGTCAACACCAACCATTTTGTTATGTTGATCATTGTTTTAAGGACAGTATTTTTGTTTTTGTATTAAGAGAAAATATATATCGTGTGGCCAACTTTGGTGGTTATGAAATTCTAATTGTCCTTATTCTGTATAAAAATGGTCTTAAAAAGGTGGGTTATGAAATTTACCTATACAAATTATTCAAAAAAATATTAATATGCGATTTAAAAACTACATTTCTTGAACGCATTCGTGGAACACCAACATAAAGAACGGTTTATCGGGTCAGGAGTTGCTTGTCACCGTAAATATTATGTCCCCAGCCAGTACTGAGAATGGGTCCCTTGTCCCCTGATGTGTCCCAGCCAGCATTGAAAAAATGGTCCTTGACCCAGATATGTCCCAGCCAAGCACTGAGAATGGTCTTGTCCCAGATATGTCCCGGCGGAAGCATTGAGAAATGGTCTTGTCCCAGATATGTCCCAGCCAGCATTTTGAGAATGGTATTCGATGTCCACAGATATGTCCCATGTCAGCAATTGCAGAATGGTCCTTGTCCCAGAATATGTCCCAGCAAAGCACTGGAGAATGGTTTTGTCCCCAGATATGTCCCGCGATCAACCACTGAGAATGGTTCTTTGTGGCCCCAGATATGTCCCAGTCACCACTGAGAATGGTTTTTGTCCAAGATATGTCCCAGTCACCACTGAGAATGGTCTTGCCCCAGATAATGTCCCAGTCATCAACTGAGAATGGTCTTGTCCCAGAATAAATGTCCCAGTCACCATGAGAAAGCGTCTTGTCCCAGATATGTCCCCACAAGCACTGAAGAATGGTCTTGTCCCAGATATGTACCAGTCATTCAACTGAGGAATGGTCTTGTCCCCTGATAGGGTCCAGGCCAGCATTGAAGGATGGTTCTTGTTCCAGAATATGTTCCTGCAGTCATGCCTACTGAGAAATGGTCCCTTGGGTCCGCAAGATATGGTCCCCCAGCAAGCACTGAGAATGCTGTCTTGTCCCTGATATGTCCCAGGCCAGCATTGAGAATGGTCTTGGGTCCAGGTCAGATATTTGTCCCAGTCCAGCATTGAGAGAATGGTCTTGTCCCTGATATGTCCCAGCAAAGACTGAGAATGGTCTTGTCCCTGATTAGTCCCAAGCATTGAGAATGGTCTTGTTCTTGATATGTCCCAGTCACTACTGAGAAGGGTCTTGGTCCCAGATTATGTCCCAGCCAGCATTGAGAAGGGGTCTTGTCCAGATATGTCCCAGCAAGCACTGAGAATGGTTTTGTCCCAGATTGTCCCAGTTCACCACTGAGAATAGTTTTTATCCGCCAGATATGTCCCAGTCATCATTGAGAATGGTCCTTGTCCTAGATATGTCCCAGCAAGCATTGAAGAATGGTCTTTGTCCCAGATATGTTTCCCAGTCACTACTGGAATGGTCTTGTCCAAGATTGTCCCAGTCATCATTGAGAATGGTCTTGTCCGAAAAAAAAAAAAAAAAAAAAAAAAAAAAAAAAAAAAAGATATGTCCCAGTCATCATTGAGAATGGTCTTGTCCTAGATACTGTCCCAGCCGCATTGAGAATGGTCTTGTCCCAGATATGTCCCAGCTTAGCATTGAGAATGGTCATGTCCCGAGATATTGCCACCAGCATTGAAAATGGTCTTTGTTCCTGATATGTCCAGCAAGCATTGATAGGAAGGTCTTGTCCGCTGATATGTCCAGCCAGCAAATTGAGAATGGTATTGTCCCAGATATGTCCGGTGCAAAAGCATTGAGAATGGTCTTGTCCCTGATATGTCCCAGCCAGCATTGAAAAAAATGGTCTTGTCCCTGATATGTCCGCAGTCACCACTAGATGGTCTTGTCCCAGATATGTCCCAAGTCAGCATTGAGAATGGTCTTGTCCCAGATATGTCCGCCCAGCCAGCATTGAGAATGGTCCTTGTCCCAGATATGTCCCAGGCAAGCACTGAGAATGGTTTGTCCCAGATATGTCCCAGTCACCACTATGAATGGTTTTGTCCCAAGATATGTCCCAAGTCCATCATTGAGAATGTCTTGTCCTAGATTATGTCCCCAGCCAGCATTGAGATTGGTCTTGTCCCAGATATGTCCAAGCCAGCATTGAGAATGGTCTTGTCCCAGATATTTCCCCAGCCAGCATTGAGAATGGTCTTGTCCCTGATTATGTCCCCAGTCATCACTGAGAATGGTCTTGTCCCAGATATGTCCCGGCAAGCATTGAGAATGGTTCTTGTCCTGATATGTCCCAGCAAGCACTGAGAATGGTTTTGTCCCAGATATGTCCAGTCACCACTATGAATGGTTTTGTCCAAGATTATGTCCGCAAGTCATATTGAGAATGGTCTTTGTTCCTAGATATGTCCGCAGCCAGCATTGAGAATGGTCTTGTCCCAGATATGTCCAAAGCCAGCACTGAGAAATCTTGTCCAGATATTCCCCAGCCAGCCATTGAAATGGTCTTGTCCCAGAATATGTCCCAGCCAGCATTGAGAATGGTCTTAGTCCCAGATATGTCCCAGTCACCAACTGAGAATGGTCTTGCCCGCAGATATGTCCCAGCCACCACTGAGAATGGTCTTGTCCCAGATATGTCCCAGCCAGCAACTGAGAATGGTCTTGTCCCAGATATGTCCAGCCAGCACTGAGAATGGTCCTTGGTTTCCCAGATATGTCCCAGCCACCACTGAGAATGGGTCTTGTCCCAAGATATGTCCCAGCCAGCATTGAGAATGGTCTTGTCCCAGATATGTCCGCAGCCAAACCACTGAGAATGGTCTTGTCCCGAGATATGTCCCAGCCAGCCACTGAGAATCGGTCTTGTCCCAGATAATGTCCCAGCCAGCACTGAGAATGGTCCCTTGTCCCAGATATGTCCCAGCCACAACTGAAGAATGGTCTTGTCCCAGATATGTCCCAGCCAGCAACTGAGAATGGTCTTGTCCCAGAATATGTCCCAGTCACCACTGAGAATGGTCTTGGTCCCAGAATATGTCCCAGCCAGCACTGAGAATGGTCTTGTCCAGATATGTCCAGGGCCAACCACTGGAGAATGGTCTTGTCCGCAGATATGTCCGCAGCCAGCCACTGAAAAAATGGTCAGTGACATGATGATAGGTCTTGTTTGTCGTACATGTGATATTTACAAAACTACTATTTCTATAATTTATATTTGTGTTGAAAATAACATTTATATGATATTTATATGACATATATAATTTATATTTTGGTAATACATGTACAATGTTGTTTTGTTTCCCTCTTTTTATAGTTTTAATATAATAAAGTTTACTTTGTTTCTAGTCTGATTTGTACATATTTTGTTACGTTGAAATGATAGATGGATGTACTCTTGCTATATTGCATATTAAAAAGCTTCTTGCAAAAAAAAAAAAAAGTTGTGGCAAAGGGAGAATGATTTATTGATTTGCTTATTAATTCAGGAGTTAGTGAGTGATCAAGGTCACATCACTTGCCCCTCACAGTTGTGGTTCCAGTGATCAAGGTCACACTACTTGCCCCTCACAGCTGCAATTACAGTAATCAAGGTCACACCACTTGCCCCTCACAGCTGTGGTTACAGTAATCAAGGTCACACTCACTTGCCCCTCACTTGCCCCTCACAGATGTGATTACAGTGATCAAGGGTCACATCACTTGCCCCTCACAGCTGTGTTTACAGTGATCAAAGGTCCACACCACTTGCCGCTCACAGCTGTAATTACAGTAATCAACGGTCACAACACTTGCCCCTCGCAGCTTGTGTTCACCACTTGCCCCTGATGTGGTTACAGGATCAAGGTCACCACTAGCCCCCTCACAGCTGTGATTACAGTGATCAAGGTCACAACACTTGCCCCTCACAGCTGTGATTACAGTGATCAAGGTCACACTACTTGCCCCTCACAGCTGTGATTACAGTGATCAATGTCACAACACTTGCCCCTCACAGCTGTGTTACAGTGATCAAGGTCACACCAATTGCCCTACAGCTGTATTACAGTGAATCAAGGTCACACCACCTTGCCCCTCACAGGCTGTGTGATTACAGTGATTCAAGGTCAACACACTAGCCCCTCACAGCTGTGATTACAGTGATCAAGGTCACACTACTTGCCCTTCAACAGCGTGGTTACCAGTAATCAAGGTCACAACACTAGCCCCTCACAGCT